CTTCAGGTCATCATCATCTTCTTCTTCGCTCTCCTCCTTGCTCGAAAGCTCGTCATGCCCCTCGTGGTGCCGCTCCGCGCCGCCTCCCTCGTCGTCCGAGCTGGTCGCGTCTTCGCCGCTCGTCTCCTCCTCCTCCTCGTCCGAGCTGGGCGCGGGAGCCGCCTCCTTCTTCTCTGCCGGCTCGCCCCGGCGTGGCATCGCTGATGTGCTTGTGGGTCGCCGAGCTCTCTCTTGCTTCTTCCTCGTCCGGCTTTGCTTCAAGTCCGCGTCACACGTGTGTCGTGCTGTGGTGTGTAGTGTAGTGTGCTGTGTGTTGTCCTGTGTTGTGTGTTTTGGGATGATCACTGCTGCCTGCCGACGAGTCTTGTGGTGTGCGGGTGTTGTGTCGAACTACGTTGTTTCTTCTTCTTCTTCTGCCTAAAGGGCCGAAGAAGGAAGTGTCTGAGGTGAGTTCAAGAGCAGAAGAAGAGGAAAAGGCCTCAGCGATAGCAACCTGATGAGAGCGTGAAGGCCTGGTGCGGAGCACCACAGGGACATCCACTCGTGTTTTCGGTGGACTCCCACGTCGAGCATAGGAATTACCCCGCAAGGAGGGGGCGGGAGGGGGGCGGCGTACTGACAACTGCGGGGGTTGAGGGGCAAGCAGCCCGCACGGAGCTCACAACATCAGCAGTTCCTTGAGGATCCTCGACGCTATGGCGAGAAATCATTCGCGATTGAATTAACATCTCTCCGGGAGAGGGGGGGGGTAAATCCCATTCTATTCCTCCTCTTTCATCTGCTGATCAACGCGAACAACGAGAAAATGTTGTGGACTCGATTGGGTGCTCTTCGTATCGCCAGGGAGTAAAGTAAATCGATTCTGATTTTGCGTTGGGCGGTCATTGACCCCGAGGGCTTCGGGTGAAGGAGACGGCGCGGCGGAACAGGAGCGCGTAGTGCCTGTCGCGAACCTCCACCCACGTGGAGGCCGCGTCGCTGGTGCGCTGCAGGACGGACTCAGCTTGGCTGGGCGTGGGCAGACGCACGACGTACCTCCTCCCCCTCGCCTGCTCTTCATCTTTCTCTGCGCCGCTGTTCGGCCCGGTGAGCTGGTAGACCTCCAGCGGCATGGAGCGATCGCCGCCCGAGCTTGTAAGGGCGACGCTGAACTGGTCGGGCGCGAGGTCGAGCACAAAGTCGATGGCGACACCCGCGTCGAACCCGTCGTCGCCCTCTTCAAGCCCAGCTCCGCTCAGCGCCACTGTCACGCTGAGGCCGTCGGCGCCCGACAACGCTGAAGGAGAAGGAGACAACACCTGGTGGTGCCCACCGCAGACATAGTCGGAGTTCAATTTGCATTCTCCACAGGCCAAGGAGCTGTCGCGACCACGTACGCTCAGAGTGGCGAATGGCTGATGAAGCGCGTCGGGCGTCGGCATTGCCACCGGCGTCGGCGTTGAGGCGGCTGATGGCTTGTCGGTCTCGGGAAGGAACTCGACGAAGCCGGCGAGGAGGTCCGGGTGGTCCTGTGCGTGCGCCAATTGTTACCCTGAGGCGGCGGGACACAAACTGGCGGCGCAGTGCGAGACCGAACACGAGTGCTGTACCTTGAACAGGTGCGCCACATGAGCGTGGACCTCACGTATGCTCTGGTTTTGCTTATGAAACTCGTGCAAGGTCTCCAGGAACGCTTTGTAGACCCCAGGAGCAGTGATGAACCGTTTCTGGATGATCATCAGGAAACCATCAGTGTCGTCACCATTCAGTTGACGTGTGGCCGGGTGTGGTGCGTGCCTTGACTTGGATGACAAAGTTGCGAGCCTGGTGGATTGGAGTCGTCGTTGCAGCAGGTTGCGGCGGCGGAGGCGTGCGTTCAGGCGCCGAGTTGCTCGGTGTGTCGGCCGTCAGTGGGATGTGGTAGCCGGGCGGAAGAAACACGTTGAAGCCCTCGATGAGTTCTTCATTGCCGCTGAACAGCTCCCGCACCGCCGCAAGCACCCCTGGGGTGTCGAGCCTGGGCCAAATTAATTCCAAGTATTCAAAAAAGTGATTAGATAACTTATACACGTTTGGGGTTTGGACGAGGGGGGGGAGTGGTATACCGCTGGGCTTTGAAGTCTTTCATAATTTCTAGGAAGCTCTGGTACACCTCGGGCCGGTCGGCATAACGGCGCTTTACCGCACCCAAAAAGTCGAGGGCGTCATTGAACTTCACAGCCGACATGTGTGTGCGCTAGTACTCGTCCAAGAAAGCGGTACCAAGTTTTGGAGTTAGGGGAGTGTTGTCAGCAAATTCAGTTCATTCGCACTACGATGGAGTTGTATTGGACAAGAGAGCACCGGCTAGATGAAATAAATCAGCCCAAGTACCCGCCTGTAGGCGTGGAGCTGCTTGCTATCGAAGCCATCGAGGAAAGTGTCGGGGAGATGAACGTCGCGCACGCCCAGGCCCACCGAAGCTGACTCGTCGCCGAGGCCAGGGTGCAGCCGGCACGCCGGGCGCAGGGAGAGTGCTTGCTGCACGGCGGGCACCAGCTTCGCGATGTCCCGCACAAGTCCGCCGGACGACGGCATGCGCTGCTGCAGCTCGCCGGACTTGATCTTCCGCTCCAGCTCCTCTGCGTGTTGGCAAACGTGTGTGAGCAAATACGTAAATGATGTGAGTGCGTTGTGTTGTGTTGCGTGTGCGTACCCATGACAGAGCCATCAGGTCCGGAGAAGCCGAGAGCACGCACCAACATTCGGCACAGGCCTGTGGCTGCGCAGAACTGAACCGCGATGAGGTGTGAGACAACTTGAGTAGCGCAGGGCGGTGGTGATAGTGGTAGTAGTAGTAGTCGTACCTGGGCCAGTGTGTGGGCCTCAGACCCGGGCTGCAGGGAAGTCCTGGCAGCGAGCAGCTCCCGAACCTCTGCCGGCGCAACCAACGCCTCTTCTTCGCCCTCCTCGTTGCCTTCGTCTCGCTTGCGCTTCTTCCGTGTCGGCGCACTGGGTGCTCGCCCAGGCGTGGCGGCGCTGTCCGCAGCCATTTCCACCAGTGATCGTACCGCTCCTGTTGGTTGATCATTTTATAAGATGAGCCAATGGCATTAGCAGACGCGAGGTGTGGTTGGTTACCCGGAGCAGGAGGCAAGAGACGGGCGAGGGTCGCGACCACCGTCTGGGATTGCTGGCTAGCATCATCATCGCTCGTTGGGGGCGTGACGAAGGACAAAACGACGAGCGCCATGACGCGCAGGGCGAGCCGCTCACTGCAGTCGCGCCACAGGACCAGCAGGTCATCCACCACCTCGCGCCCTTGGTCGGGGAACATCTGATGTAGCGCAGATGAGTGGCCGTGTCCCTTCAAAAGTGGTGCTCAAGTTCAGGAGCGCACCGCAAGGAGCTGCAGTACAAGAAAGCGGGTGGTGGGGCACTCCCGTTTCTGGCGCACAATCGCCCGATAGATATCCAGGTTTCTCACCTATTGAAGTGTGTTGTGTGCGTCGTGTCGTGTCGTGCTGTTAGAAAGATGTAACTTCAAAACGTTTCTAGGCGGCAGGCACGCACGCACCATCTCCTGGCGGGTTTCAAGCGCCAGAGGCTGCCCGATCGGATTCTCGCCGCTCGCGAACCCCGCCAAGTTGCATTGGCCCGGCTCCCCGGCCAGAGAAAGCAGAAACTGAGGACGCGCTATGGTCAGCGGTACGGTACAGGCGAACCATCATTCGGAGAGTACCTTGACCAGCTCGGGCTTGTCGGGGCTGTCTTCGTAGTCCAGCACAGCCGAGATCCACTTGGCAACGAGCGGGGTGGAGGAGTAGTACGTGCCTGACATTGCAGAAGGGAACGAGTGTGAGTGCGTGAGTGAGTGTGAGTGAGTGAGTGAGTGAGTGAGTGAGTGAGTGAGTGAGTGAGTGAGTGAGTGAGTGCAAGCCATTGGCGATCAACAAAGGCTCGCGGATAGACTACCCTGATGGAACGCGGAGATGCCAATGTTGTACAATGCGGACATCCGTAGCTCCGGCTCGCTGTCAACGAGCCTTCGGATGTTCTTCGGCAGGTCGACTCCTGTGACGATGGGAGCGCGCTCACATAAGAGATCCACTGGTCATCATCACCACCATCGCCAGTGAAACTCGGGGGGGGGAGGTGCGCACCAGAGCCGTAGGCTTGTGCTACCGAGTCCCAGGCAAACGCCTCCAGCCCGGCCAGGTGCGGGAATCTGCACACCACGTGCAATTGGTAAGTGGGCCATGGCCATCAACCGCATGTCGACATGAACTACTGGTTACCGTTTGCGTCCGGCCACATGGGGCGGCAGGGGCGTCTGAAGCCAGGCCTGCAGGCTCGATCGATCGGGTGGCAAGCCGAACAGCTGGAAAGGATTGGTCAGCGGAGCCTCCTCTCCTTTCTCTTCTTCTTCCTCTTCTTCGGCGTCCTTCTCCTCTACTTGGCTGAAGGTGTCGACGACGCGCCAGAAGGCCGCGTAGCGATCGTCGAAGGCCAGCTCGTTGAGCACTTGCACCAGCGCGGGGTCGAGCTCGGGGGCGTAGTAGCTCGTTTCTTCCGGCAGTGGGTCGGCCATCATCATGTTCAGCAAACAGTACAGTAGTCGACGACTGCGCTCATGTGTGGTAGCGTGTGTGTGGTGTGTGTGTATGCAGTATTGTGTGCGTGTGTGCGTGTGTGCGTGTTGTGAGTGCGGTCTGCTGGGCCACAAGGGTTTGTGTGTGCTGGGCTTACGTGGGCTTGGGGTCGGCTTGGCCCGACAATCGCTCCAGCAGGCAACGCCACGCGTGCGGTTGCGCCCAACAGCGATCCGAGTCGCCCAGCGCGCTGAAAGCAAGCTGTGCAATTCGCACACGTCAGCCGAAGTGCGGCACGGTTAAGCTGTAAAGGCCGACTAGGGAATACCTGAGAGAGCTCCAAGTCCTCCCAGCCCACCGGCAGGCAAAGCTCGTCCGGGTGGGTCGCCAACTTGAGTTGCCGGGCCACCTCAGCTTGCATGTGGGCGGGCAGCAGCGCTAGCTGCTCGGGCGTGAGGCCCAGGCTGGCTACGGAAGAGGTGGGCTGGGCGAAGACCGCCGGCTCTCGCTGTCGGTGGAGCGCGATGTGTTCCATGATCAGCGGCAGGTGTTCTTCGGGCACGAGCTCCGTGATGGGCACGGGGTGGGGGTCCTTCTGATAAGTGAGCAGCGACTCGCCACCTGCGTTTCGGAGGCGGCATCGTGTGTATGGTCAGCTTCTGCGGGCAAGGAGAGGCCCAGGCCAAGCGGACATAAAAAAAAAGCTCGCACCGTCGACATCGACCCAGGCCTGTTCCAGTTCGAGCGCGTTCTGTATCAGTGCAACCGCACGCTCGACCGCAGCCGCGGGAGGCCGGTAGACCAATTGGAGCGTCACGATGGCTGTGCAGTGTTTGTGTGCGTTGCACGTTTTGTGTTGGTTGGTGGTGGTGTGTCGTGTGGTGTGTGTCGTAGGCCACAGGAAGCAAGTACCCAGAGCAGCCTCGGTGAGCGGTCCAAGAGGGCGCACACCATCCCCGGCACTTGATGTGCCATCGCAGACGGTGGCCCAAAGGTCGGTGAGGAATTTCTGGGCGTCTCCCCGCCGGCTATCATCCCTGCAGGTTTCAGTGGAGTGGTGAGTGCGTGGTAGCGCCTCGTCGTCCAATCGCGCTCTTACTATCCCTCTTACCATCCCTGCTTGGCCCATGCGAACACAGCGCAGGCTCTGGCCTTGTCGAGCGGCTCGTTCTTGATGAGCCACGCAAGAATCAACAGAACGTCGTTATGCCGGTTGGTGGCCAAGAACTCGATCAGCACAACCTTCATCCTCTCACTGGTCTGTGCACTCGTCTTCTCCGTTACACACAGCACGACACACGACCACACATCAACAACGACGATCAGCCAATGTCTGGCAGGCCACTTGAGGTGCAGAAGAAGTGGTGGTACGATGAGGGGGAACAGCGGTTCCACCGCCATGTCGACATAGCCTGGCCGATTGACGAACCCACACAGCGGAAGCTTAAACGCCAGCCACACTTCTCCCTGCGAGACAGGGCGCTCACCCCTTTCCGCTGCCTGGAGGTTTGTTTGAAAAAGAAAAACGAAAATGAAAAACGAAAGAATTGTTTTTTCCTGGAAGAGACGGCAGGGACCTTTGTTTGGAGGGTCTGGACAATGAGTTGCCTGGCCTGGGCACGGCAGCCGGGCTCAAGCGCCAGCTTCAGAATGAGCAGCGAATTCGCCTCCTCCTCAGCCCCAAGTACACGCGCCACCAAGTCTGCCTGTTTGTTTGTGCAGGCGCCGCAGTGAGCCTTCGCGCCAGAGCCTTCTCTCTTCACTCCCACCCACGACATACCAGTTCGAGCGACATGCCTGCGTTGGTGTGATCTGTGCCAGACTTTGTTTGCGCTTTGGGGCCCAAAGGTTTGCACGCGTGCAGTTAAAGCGGAGTTCGGAAGTTGGCGCTCAATAGGGTGGTGGTGAGGTCTTTAACGAACAACATACGAAAGACTGTTTCGCCAACAACACCAAGAGTCGCGCGCAACGTGGGCTACCAGGTCATGGCGAGGTGTCGCTGCAGGTCGGCGTCGAACTTGGCCAGCATCTGGGTCTCGGCCCGGGCCTCGCGGGCCACCTGGGCCTCGGTCAGCGTGGCCGGGGCGTTGGCGAACGAGAGCGCGATGAAGCTGTGCCGGCAGTCCTCGAACACGGCCTCGAACACCCGCTGCACCCTCGACCCGTGGAAGTCGCTTGTGACCACCACCACCTCGGTCACCCTGTCCCCTGTTGGCATCATCTTCATCGTCATCATCTCGTCGTCTTCATCAGAGGAGACGTGAATGTGGAAGATGGACTTACGGTTGGTGATGAGTTGATGAAGAAGCTTCTTGGTGCAGAAGGCGTTGGAGAAGGTGTTCCAGGAGACCTCCTCGAGCAGGATGAGCGACGGATCCACGCCGGCCTCCACCGCGATGCGCTTCATGCACTCGGCCTCGGTCATGTTGGCCCGCTTCTCCACCATCGACCCGCTCATCACCAAGAAGTGCCCTGCACACGCGCGCACACCACCGCACACGCATCACCGCACACGTAAGGGTGCGTGAGGGAGTTTGTCCAACGATGCGCGACTGACGTTGGGTCGGGCGAGAAAGAAAGACAACAGAGACGCGTGCGTACCAGGCTGGTAGGTGCTCTTGAAGTGGTCGATGGCAAAGGCCAGGCGCTCGGAGAGGCACAGCTCCGGTTTCCCGTTCTTTTTGAGTCGCTTGCCCAGCACCACGATGTACCTCGTCCCGTTCTTGCCCGCCCCGCTCAACGTGGTTGACGTTGACAACGATGTCGGACCCGACGGCGGCGTGGTCGGAGTCGGCACGGGTGCGGTGTAGGAGACGCTCGGGCCGCCCCTTTTCGCTTGCGCCGGCCCTCCCCACCCTCCTCGCTTGGGCTGCACCTTCGTGTCACGAACCTCCCCAAAGCCACTTAATATTCTCTCGAGACCCTTGCCTGAAGCACTTTCCTGGTATTGGCGGCCCAGACTGAGAAATGGACACGACCAAGCGCAACAGCCAGCTGGAGGGACAGGCAGCACAAGCCCTTTAGTCTCCATGTAAGGGGGGGGGGGTGGCCAACATGGTGTGCGTAGGAAGTTAAGACTCCCTTCGAGCCCCAACTCAGCGTCAACTTCTGTCCAATTCCTCCTCGGAGTGGAGGTGGCGCGGAAGGCCTTCGCGCTGTTTCTCTTTCTCCTGGAGGTACTTGTTGAGCAGGCCGTCACACGAGTCGCCCATGACTCAATCAAACGCACCCCAGTCGAACCCCGTCTCGCTAATGCCACTGAGAGAGCGTGATGGATCATTCTCTGCGGAGTGGTTGACCCTCACCTTGGCAGTGAGTGGGTTGCTTGAGCTGAGGGAGAGCATATCATCTTTGTCTTGTCCTTCTTGCATAGTGTGTTCTGTTGTGGAAGATGATGCCCCTGTTGGCAACTGTACACAAAGAAGGGAAAAGTCTCTTTTTTAACATGTTTCCGGATGAACGTTCATCTCAAATCCAAACGTTATGCGATGTGGGAGGTCGGCAGCTGCTCACAAATGGAAGGGGTGAACGACGCAGCACTGCTTCCCTTCGCCTCGGCCAAGGCGCGATATGTACACCTACAGCGACCGTTAGGTCAGTCCTGCAGCAAACAGAGACGAAGGTTTGGGGGGGGGTCCGAGCGGGACGCGTACCCGAGGTCGCAGCGTGTGGTCGATGAAGCCGTAGGCCATGGACTCGGTGCTGTGGGCCACCACCAGGTCGCCTTCGATCAATGCTGCGGCATCGTCGTCTTCTTCTCCTCCTTCTTCTTCTTCTCCTTCTTCCGCACTTCTACCACTATGGGAAGTCGTAGTGGCTCGTAGGGCGATGAACCCCGCGTGCTGGGTGCCGTCGCCCTCGCGCGCGTTGGCGGCGAAGAAGTGCTCGAGCGCTCGCCGCGCACCGACGTCCGCCTCGTCAGCGCCCACCATCTCCCTGCAGGCCGTCGACGCGAGCAGGGACTTGGTGATCTGTTCGCCCACCCCGCTGGCGCTGCATGCCACCGCCACACGGGGTGATCGCGGTGTGGCCGACGACGACGATGGGTTCAGGTCGAGGCCCGAAGCCCAGCAGCCGCACCCGTAGAGAGCGGCTTCGCCCACTCGACCTTCCCACTTCATAGCGATGCCACCACTGCACAACACGCGCGTGTTGGTGAGTAGGTTTGAGCTTCGTACAAAGCAAGTGGTTGCGGCTGAGCGCACCTGGACACTCCCGCAGCGGTCTTGCCGGTGGCGTCGATGCAGATTGCACCCACAGTGTCGTAGAGACTGTCACTTTCCGCCTCAGCGGCGGCGAGGTCTGTCTTTGGCCGCTTGGCCCGGTGGACCTCGCCACCTCCGTCATTGTCGCCGTCGTCGCCTTCGGCTTCGTCGGCGCCGCACCTCCGTCTTTCTTTCCGTTCCTCCAGCTCTGCCCACAGCCGCAGGCGTGCGCTGTACTTTTCCCACGCGGCCCTTGCCCTCGGCGCGACCATCGGATCTTCGTCTTCTCCGCTTTCGCCTTCTACTTCGCCTTTGTCATCATCATCTCCTCCGTCTCTTCTCTTTTCCGTTTCATGTCGAGCCCGCTTCCGCCTGAGGTGTGACGTGGGCGAGGAAGGCAACGGCAGCACGCCCTCAACTCCGTGGGCCAGGCCCCATCGTCTGGCTCCCTCGCCCACCAGGAACCTATTCGCGTTGTCGTGTTGTGTCGTGTGTCGTGTGTCGTGTGTCGTGTTGTGTCGTGTGTCGTGTCAGAGCCGGTTGGGTCTGCAGCGCTTGGTGCGCATGGGAACGGGCGCAGTACATGGGCGGGACTCGGCCAAGGGGCAGTCGGCCCTTGCGCTCAGCGGTCATGATGGCGTGGGCGAGCGTAATCGGACTTCGCACTCCGGACACCGCTCCCACGGCGCCGAATCCACCGTCACTCAGGGAAGCTTCGCTCGCTGCGCCCATCACGCTTGCGTCGCACTCCACTTTGCCTTGAGTGGAGTGTGCGCAGGTTGCGAATGTGAGACTAACTCTTCATAGAAGCAAATTGACGGTGGAGAAACCATGAAGTGTGAGTGCGGAGCCGAAGCCAGCGTTGGTCACGGGATCTGCCTCGAGCGACGCGATAGCCGCCACCACAGCGTCAGTCGGCCCTACGTTGCGCACGTCGCGTCCACCTTGTTCGGCAAACCGGAAAATCATCAGAGTCAAAGCTCCCTTTCTTATCGAACATCTCACAGGGAGCTACGTGCCAGCAGGAAGCAAGGTGCGAGCGGCGCACAGGAGAGCCCGTTTGAGGGCACGCTTGAAGGCTGGCGCGTTGGTCGCCCCGTGGTAGCCCGCCCCCGCATGTACGCCGATGAAGAACCGTGAGAGTCCATCTTGCACATCAATTGACCTAGCACGCTGCTCGCATCGAGATCTATCATCGACTATCTCTTCCACCTCCATCTTCCCTACCCGCTCGCACATCCATTAGAACGGATCAATCTATTGCCGCATTCGATTGATAGATTGGCAGTAGGAAATGGACATTTCTTTTCATTTCCTTATTTCTGCGATCAGTACTGATGCGGAAAATGGGGGGGCCAACCACAAATCAGAGTCCTTTCCGCACGGAAAGTTTGCGGGTGGCACCGTAGGCTATTCAATACTCAAACGAGCGCCCATCACCACGACCCGAGGCGAAGAAGGAGAGTCAGTGAAGAAGAAGAAGAAGAGGACTGACATACAGTTCTCGGGAGGAGGAAGGAGGAAACTCAGACGCGGGTCGGGCGAATCGAGGCGATAAGATCCGACGCGTTTCGAGAAGATCTGTTTCGATTGATCGGCACAACCGAGGTAGGACCTCTCTTGCAATCTAGCTCTTGTTTGCCTCTTCATCTTCTTCAGGCTTGTTGACGTCAATCCTTGTCTCAACGCCAGCAGTAAGTTCGTGTAGCTTCGTGCTTTCGTCTGGCTCTTCTGTCAATCTTCGTCCGGCTGGCATCGGTGGCTGTATAGCTGTACAAACAAACTCTCTCTCCACAAGCGCACCTGCACCTCCCATTCTTCACCATCCAGCCCATCTTCAGCACCGACTTCTACTTCTGCTTCGATTTACGGATCGGCACTTCAACGAGGGCGATAGATCGATTCGAAGAACAATCCAACGATAGAAATATGGCGACTGTGGCTGTGAACGACGCGACCCGAGTGCTGAATGTACAGAATCAACCAGATCTTCGCGATCCCAACGACGTTCTGGAGATGGCGACCAACGATGCCGAAACTCGGCCTCGAAGGCGGGACTCGGCTCGAAGCGGCGAAGAAGACGGTCGCGGTCGGCCCAGCCCCGACCCTTCGGACAATCAACTGCGGAAGGAGAGTTCTTCCTCAGCTGGGGGTGTAACTCTTGAGGAGGAAGAGGAAGACGCCTACGACAGCTGTTGCATCTGCTTCGACGGGAAGGAGTACGTCTTGACATCGTGCTGCCATCTCTTCTGCCTGCCCTGCATCACGAGATGGATCGAAATCAGCAATACCTGCCCCATCTGCAGAAACGAATTCGAGACAGGCGTCGAGCTCTACAACCTCATCGGTACGTCTCAGGCCATTCCCTTCCATCTCAAGCCATCCAGGCCCAAACCCCCAATCGCCATCTCGCGAGATTTGTTCCTTGAAATTGCGCTTTCTTTTTCGATTTCTTTTTCGCGTTCACTTTCCGGACTTTTCGCTGCGAAGCCGTTTCCGTTACTGATCACCTTGGGCTTGGACCGCACAGGCACGGTCGAGGACACGATACGGGCGATCAAGGAGGTACACAAGCGGAAGCGCGAGCAGGAGGCCAAGCGGAGGGAGCGGGCCTTGGCGCTGCAGGCCGAGAGCGCGGGGTCGGGATCGTCTGCGGCCACGTGGGGCATCTTCCACCAGGTGATGGATCTCCTCTTCCCGGCGTCGGTCGATGGGGAGCGCATGACCATGTCTGGTCGGATGGCCCTGATCGAGCAAGATGAGGATCCTGCGACGCTGGCGCCCCACCTCAACCTCACCCGGGTCAACCTCAACGCGCTCGCTAACGGACGCCAGTCGACCCAGAACGTGACGCTCGCCCACACTACCGGTCGCCACAACAACCACCACGGCCACCATCAGCTCAACGTCGCGCCCTCGTTCCCCTTCCTCTCCTTCTGCTGCCTTCCGCAGCCGTCGCCCTCGGTCGCCATGTCGCCCGTGTTCGAACGTCTCTCGCGGGGGAACAGGATCCACTAAGAGGACGGCTCCACCTACCAGCTCAGGCGGTACGCAGCTCGCTTGCTCAACAACAACATCAACAAGGCTTCGACGTAACGAGAGAGGTTTAACAAACCGATAGCGGCGATTTCATGGAGCGAGACTCAAGAAGCCCGAGAGAGCAAGCCAACGATTCTGCCGACCACCTGGGACCGCCCTCTTTCTCCCCCACCTTTCCCTTTTGCACAGCTTCCTCCCCCCTCTTTGTACAGATGTTCATTTCTCTTTCTCCTCTTTGTAAAGACTCATCCTCTTCATCTCTCCCGGTTGCCAGCTCTCCTCCTGTAAAGCGCTGCAACCACTCAAATACAATGTACCTTTACTCACTTGAGGCCAAGGAAGGTGTTGATACAGGAACAAGAAGAAGAAGAGAAACTAGGAAAGGGGAAGGAAGGCGTGATAGGGAATCAAGGCCGGGTTCAGAACTTGAAACGGAGGAAGCGCTTGATGAAGGTGGTGCCGTCGATGGCTTCGGCGGCTTCTTCTTCGCTGGGCTCGATGCCCGGCGTGCCATCATTCTCATCTCCGTACGTGCGGCCCAGAGAAGACGCCGTAAGCTTGGCCCTGCTCAGAGTTGGTCGGATCGTTGTCCGTGGGTCAGCGCACAGCGCACGCACACAAACGACCAACAAGACGGACCTCTTCTTGCGGGTGGAGGGCGCATTCTTCATCTTGGCCTTTAGTTCCTCGGGAATCGGCGCGTAGGGGATCACACTCACGTTGTTGCCCATCGAGTTGAGACTCACGTTGGGGAACAGCTGGCCGTTCGACGTAGACACATTCGAAACACTAACACACACACACACACACGACACACGAGGCGTCAGCTGTGTGCGGCAGCACGGTTGGGGGGGGGAGTTGGCGTGTACGTTGTGGAGCTCTTGCCGTTCTTGAAGAAGTGCACGATGTTTTTGTCAAACTCGACGAACACGCCGACGGTGTCGCCGGTGGTGTACGTCTGGCCCGTGGAGGGCGTGGTGCTGGAGTTGTAGACCTGGCCCGACGAGTAGTATGTCCATCTGCCCCAACGCGCATAACGCTTAGTACGTGTGCGTGTGTGCGTGTGTGTGCGTGTGCAGCGCTCATCGGTACCCGTTGCTGTATTGGCCGGCATAGCCGGTGGTGCTGCAAGTGCCCGATACGACGCCCTGAAAATCGCACGTGAAAGGTGGAGCACGTGAGAAGAGTTGATCACCAGAGCGTGGGGGCTGCGGGTCAAATGGGAAGTGAGAGCGGACGTACGATCATCAGCTGGCCCGGAGTGCCGTTGCCCACCTTGAACTCGATGTAGGGATTGTCCCGGGTGAGGGGCGTCGTGCACGACGCGTTCGCCCATCCGATGCTGGCGCTGAGCGTGGCCTACATCAACGCCGCACGCACGCACGCGCATAAAGTGTCAGTGGATGGTTTGTTCTGTTTCAAGAGGCGAAAGGGAGAGGGGCAAACCGTGAGCTTGTCGTCGGAGAGTGTGATGCTTGCGTGGCTCTGCTCGGGGTTGAATTGGTGGCCTGTCCTGGGCGTGGATCGGATGTTCTTGACGGAGCTCGGGTTGACTCGGTAGCGATAGGCCTCGTGGAGCAGGTCCTGCACCACCGGCAGGTCCCTGATCGACTCATTGCCCTCCACCTTCTGCACTCGCCATAGAATATAAATATATTAATATTATTAATTCATGAATTAAATTGGGAAAAATACAAAATTAAGAATAATAAATAATGAATTGTACCGTGACGAGGAAGCGCGGGCTCATGAAGGGGAAGCGGATGTAGGGCAGAATGGTGGTCAGCGCCTGTTCACGCACGTCCTTGGCCTTGAACTGCTTGGTATAGCGGATGACGGCGTCGAAGAGCTCCTCCTCGGATCTGCGCAAAGAAAATCTGTCATTACCCTGTGGTGTGTGTCGTCGTGTGTCGTGTCGTCGTGTGTCGTCGTATGCGTGTCGTGCGTGTCGTGCGTGTCGTGTGTGTCGTGCGTGTCGTGTGTCGTCGTACCTCACACGGATGTCGTCGGTCTTGACGATTTCGGCCCAGGTGGACGGTTCGAGGTCGTCCAGCTTGCCGTTGTTGACCAGGTCCTGGAAGTGCTCGGCGAGGTGCGAGCCACACGCGGCCTCGAGGGCCTTCACCTCATACTTGTCCACCACGTCGAGGAAGAAGAACAGGTTGTCGTCCGTCACCAGGTCGCCCAGCAACTCACCGCACGTCTCCTGTCGTACCCAACCAGAGAGAGAGAGAGAGATCACACACATCAGCAACGTCGTGTGCAGTGTGTGCGTGTGCGTGTGCGTGTCGTCGTGTCGTGTCGTGTCGTGTCGTGTCGTGTCGTGTCGTGTCGTGTCGTGTCGTGTCGTGCGTGTGCGGTGGGCACCTTGAGGGAGTGAATGTTGTAGTAGCTGGCGAGACTGAGAAGTGAGAGCACGTTCTGGCCGTTGATGAAGTCGGTCTCGCCCGTGTACATGTGCTTCAGCATCAGCTTGAAGTCCTCCATGTCTGCAGCGACCGCCGCCAGGTAGGTGAGTACCGAATGCGATTCAGACCCATGTGGGCTAGAAGGGGGGGGGCGAGGCTGCACACCTTCTTTCTCGAGAGGAATGACCACTTCGGCCTTGGCGCCCTCGAGTAGCGTGCGGAAGGTGTCTGCGGGGGCGCCCACCCACAGTTGACGTGTCGGTTAAGAATGTGGAAGGGAGGCCCAAGCGCCCACCAAGCCTTGAAGAAGAAGAAGAAATGCGCGTACCTGACCACACGCTGAGCACGAGTCGATGCACGGCCACCTTTTCATCCCCCAGGACCAACGTCACGTCGCTGATCTTGGTGTCTGTGATTCAACGACAAGGACACGCAAATCAATCATCTCTCTCTACACAGGAATTAAAAGGAAGAAATTTGAAACTCTGGGAATGGGGGAGGTGAAGGTGGGAGGCGCTACCGCCGTAGAGGTGGGCGAATCCCTTTTGGACCATGTCGCCGTAGAGAACGGCATTGAATTGGCGCTTGGCTGAGGGGAGATGGACCTTAAGGGTCTCCTCTTCATCCTTCTCCTTTCCCTTGCCCTTGCTCACCGACACGCGCAGCATTGTTACAATTACCTCAACAGTACAAGTCTTGTTGTTGTTTTTTCCAATTCGCCCCTTTGATCGATTGGATCAAGATTGAGCTTTCAGAGAAACCAAATTCAGCAACTCAATTATTGTGTCGACTTGGGCGTAAGGTGGCGGTGTGATGCAGCAGAACAGCTGGAACCGGCTTGTCCACTCCAATGCTGCGCAGTGCAACTTCATGGTGTCATCAGTGCCCAGGCGAGTTGAGATGTAAATAAATAGGGCTATTGGCGCGGGTGTGTTCTTGCTTTACAGATCGGAGCCACGCAACTTGCTCGTCGCGCCTCACCACGGCCCACGGTCCTCCATCAGGGCGAATCGCTGGGCGATCGCAGTCGTCGCTGGGCGTCGGTCTCCACCTCGGGTCCGCGCGAGCGCGGCGAGAGCTGCTGCTGGTCGTCGTTGCCACCGAGGCTGGCCCTCCGCGCTCCCGCCCTGCCGCGGATCTTCTTGTTGCCCTTCCGCCTGTCGTCCGCCTCCTGGCTGTCTTCGCTCTCAACGCTGTCTCGGTCGCCGGTGACGACGATGTTGATCTGCGGTGCATCCTGCTGACGGCGAGGCGACAGCAAGGCCTTGGTCGACGGTCGCGACGTGGTTGACGTTGAAGTGGACAGAGACGATGATGATGATGGCGGTGGTGATGAAGGAGGAGCTGCGGGGATGAGGCTGGCGCCGTTGGCGGAGCGGGGCGAAGGGATGCTCACCGTCGATGGCGAGACCGTCGTGCTGCTCAGCGATGATGACGTCGCTTCACCGCCGCCCGAAGCGACAAACGTCAGCGGTGACGACTGTTGGGTCGACGTGGGCGAGTCCGAATTGAAGAGCGCCTTCAGCGTGTCCTTTGATCTGCGCACGCCACCACCCAGTCAATTCACAATAATAATAATAATAATAAATTAGTAAGAGTAATGATAAATAAATAAATAACAGATAAATAGAGGAGAGCGAACCGGGTGAGGATGCGTAGCCGTTCGTCGGAGAGCTTGATGATCTGCTCCATGTTCTTCTGCTCCTTGCCCACCTCGCCCTCGATCTCCTCCTCGGGCTTGATCTTGAGGATCTCCTGGCCGCCGACCGACCCCTGCCTCCGGTGGCCCGGCCGCTTCACCGCCCCCACCGGCGACGCCGCCGACGCCGCCGGCGACACCGAGAGCGAAGAGGAATGCCCGGAATGCCCCGACGGCGCCGCAGCCACTTCGCCGCGCACGCCGATCGAGGACCCGCTGTGCTTGATGGCCTCCTTGACCTTGCCCATCCCAAAGTCCGAACTCGAGGCCAGAGAGATGCCGAGCACCGACTTGCGGTTCGGCTGCTGCGACTGCGACTGCGGCACGGCCAGGGAGTGGTGGTCGACCGGAGGCGAGCCCACTGCGTGCTGGTGCTGGTGGTCGCCGGTGGTCTCGTCGGAGGCGCCGCCGCCGCCCACGACCTCCTTCTGCTCCTCGAGCATGGTGTAGATCTGCAGCAGGGAGCGGGCCATGGTCGCCTGGCCCTCCTCCTGGTCGATCATCTTCTTCAGCTGATCGAGGAACCTGGACGTCCCGCACACAACCGTGAGTTCGCCGCACGCGTGGCCAGAGAGAAAAAGAGAAAAAGAAGAGAGAAAAGAAAGAGAAAAGAGTACCTGGCGGCGGAGCGCGGGGTGATGACGTTGCTCTGGCGCGAGCGCTTCTCGCCGAAGATCTTGGCGAGCCGCTCGGTGAACATGGTGAAGTGCTGGGTGAAGAGGAAGTTGGAGATGAACTTCTGCTGCGTGACCGGGAACAGGCACACGAGCTTCTTGAGGCTGTTCATGTCGGTCCAGTCGAAGCTCGACGCGGCCAGCTGCGGCAGATGCGACGACAGCGGCGGCACCGACGGTCGCAGCGAGAGAATGAGCTGCGGCGCGCCATCAGCGTTGTTGTCGTTGTCGTCGGCCCCCGACGCCGAGCCGCCGCCGCCGAACTTGGGCGACGACGGCGGCGAGTGGGTGGGCGACGACGAGCCGGGCTGCATCGGCTGGTCCGACGTCGACAGCGGCGTCGCGCCGCGCACGCGGATCGGAAGTGTGGGGATCGCGACCTTCATTCTTCCGCTTCCTTCGCTTTCGTTCTTTGTGCCGCCGGTCTGGCCGTCGATGAACTGGGCGAGGTTGATGGGCGCCGGCGGGTTGGGGTCGGGCGAGGTCGACTCCACGAACGCCGGGATCGACGAGGCCGAGAACGAGAGGTTCTTCGACGTCCGCATCGGGTGCGTCCGGAGCGACGCCGTCGTCGTCGACGACTCTCCCTCTTCATCCCCCTCACTATCATCCTCGTTCTTTTCGCTCTTCGTCTTCGCTTTCGTTTTCTGCATGCCCTTGATTTCGTCGGAGGAGACCCGATCGATCTCGACCTGGGCCTTGATGTCCTCCAGCTCCCGGTTGTGCGGCAGCGTCTGGATGAGCGCCGACGCGGCGGCGAATCCGCCCTCGCCGCCGCCGTGGCCTTTTCGTCGACCGGCCTTGCCCTTTGTCTTCCCGCCGCCCTGCTTGGTCTTGTTGCCCTTGCCGCCGGCGCTGCTGCTGAGGTCGACCACGTCGCTGCAGCCGAGGGCGACCTTGGCGCTCACCACCTCGTCGCCGTTGTCCGACCGCGTGCGCGCCCACTGCTCGTGATCGTCCATCAGGAGCCGCCGCTTGGCGGGGTCCTTCTTACCGCCCCCACCGCTGGGCGAGCTCGCCAAGTTGAACGGCGTCGACTCGAGCCGCCCCTCGTCGTCGCTCTTGGCGCCGCCGCCGCCGCTGTCGTCATCGCTGTCGAGCTCGCGGATGGTGGGCAGGGCCAGCGAGTACGAGTGGACCGCCGGCAGCTGGAAGTGCCGACGCTGCGGCGACGCGCCCGACGTGGGCGAGAGCGGCGGCGGCCGCACATAGTTCATCGCCGCCGCGCCGGCGTAGTGGTGGCGCTCGGCGTAGGCGTGGGAGAGGGTCTCCTCGAGCTCGGCCTGCTCGAAGGTGGTGAGCGACGTGTACGAGGCCGACGAGGCGAGCGGCGAGAAGGAAGTGGTGACTGAGCCGGCGTAGGCGGCCGACGTGACCGACGGCGAGGTGACCGACGGCAGGCACGGGGCCGAGAGCGAGGGCGAGGCCGAGAGCGGGAGCGAGGGGAGTGACGGCGCGGGCGACGACTCCGAGATGCAGTGGATGTGGGCGTAGTTGACGATCTCCTGCACGAGCCGCTCCTGGTAGGAGCGCACGAGGCTGAGGAAGCCGGCGGCGACGGCCTGCTCCTCGTCGGTGGACTTGGCCGGGCGGTGGAAGGCCGTGTCCCGGTCCGGGCTGTTCACCGGCCGATAGATCTTCGAGTGGTAGACCCCCAGCTGCGCGTAACTGTTCGCCAACCCAACGCGCAGTGTGAGGGGGGGGAAGAGAACGAAGAACGAAGAACGAAAGCGAAAGAAAGAACGAAGGAGAGAGGTGGGAATGTACGTACAAATCTTCTTCATTAGGCAGCGGGGCGAGAGGCCGCTCGGGCAGGACGACCTGCTCGGTCTCGATGTTGACGATGAGACAGTCGTCCATCACCACCGGGATGAGGTCCTCCTCGCACGTCGTCGGCATCCCAAGCACGCACGGCACTAATCACGGCACAGCGTATGTCAGCACCGTCACCAAACACCCAACGCACACACCGCACACACCGGGGATGCAATACCGGGAGACTCGACACATTCCTCCAAATTCTTGGGAACGAGCGGGATGAAGGGTCCCTGCCACTCGAACGGCCGCAGAAGCGGCAGCAGCGCCATACTGCTCACACCCGCGGGGCAGGGGGGTGACGTCAGCCACGGCTTGTGTCGACAGAAAAGGGAGAGTGGGCCCAACGTACGCGATGAAGGAGAGGACGCCGAGGTTCTTGCACAGGAGCACGATCTTGTACTCCTGGAGGAGCGCTCGCATGAGCATGATGATGTTGGGCAGCGGAACGAGGCGCAGCATCGTCGGCGCACACCACTCCATAATCAGCTTTTCCTCGTCGCCCTCCTGGACACGTCCATACGCCAACATATACCATGTTACACTATAGTGTGTCGCTGATGTATATACGGTGTTGCTAAAAAGTGATTGGTTGTTTCGATTGATCTATTTGCGAAGGGCAGGGAACGTACGGGGCAGACGAATTTGCCGTGTCGCTTGGCCGACGGGAGCTTCACCGTGAAGGAGCCGAGGGTCGATCGAATGTTGGTGTTGTAGTACGCCTCCAGCAGAGCCACCACCTTGTTCTTCTCCTATAGTGTCGGCGACACATGCAGATATGCGCGCGTTAGCCGAAAAACGATCAAACCAACACACAACACACAATACAAGCGATGGTACCTTGCTGCTGTCCGACTGGTCGTCGGTATCGGCCCTCCGTCGAGCGCCCGCGGCCGGCGTCGTCACGTCGTCGCCCAGCTCTGCGTCGGCTGCGCCCGCCACCGCGTTGCTGTGGGTGGCCTGGTCCTCCGAGGCGGCCTCCTTGCACGTACGGAGTCGGATGCCGGGGAACGGCCCTGTGGTCTCTTCGGCCTCGTGATTTTGGTGCAGCCGAATGCCCGGGAAGGGCGAGGCCTCCTCGGCCTCGGCCGCTTGCGGCTGCGCATTGCCGCTCTCGTCGCCGATTGTCGATACGATCTCGCCCCGCTCGATCTTGTTGGCGCCCAGCGCGAACAGGCTGCGCACGCGCGAGTTGGATCGCTTGCGTGCGGAGGGGGCAGCGTTGTCGCCGGCGGCGTCGCTTTCGTTCTTTGTCGTCGTCGCCGACCGGCCGCGCGGGGTGGTCTCGCCTTCGTCCTTTGTGCTGCTCAGCGTCGTGTCCGGCTTCTCGGGAGCGCCGCGGCTGATGGCCCGACCGCGACGCGGCGAGACGAGGGCCGTCGTGATCGAAGTACTGCTTTCGGCCTTGGTGGCGATGATGTCGTCCTTGATCGTCTTCTTGACCGTCCAATTGCTCAGACTATGAGCACTCGACGTTCGCGCCACTACACGACACACACGACACACACACACGACACACACACGGTTAGCGAGCGTCGCGCAGCTATCATGGTGCGGGGCGTACTCTTGGGCGCGGGGTCCTTGGATGCGTCCTTGTTGCTGCCGTCTTTGCTGTCCTTCTTGTCCTTGTCCTTGCCCCAGCGCCATCGCCAGTTCCAGGCGCCGCCCTTCTTCTCCCGCTCGTCCTCCTTGTCCTTGTCCTTTTCTTTATCGTGATCCTTGGTCGCCTCGACCTCCGACGAGATCGAATTGGCGCGCGTGGTGGTGGTCGAGGCCTGTTCGGTCTTGCTCGCCATGCCCGACTGCATGCGCGCCCGCTCACGCGCCTCCCTCTGCATTGTTCGCTCGGTTTCTGCCAACGTACCATCACCAATCAGCAAAACCACTCGTTTCGTGTCGGCTTGTGTGCGGTCGTGCGTGTGCGGTCGCGTGTGTGCGGTCGTGCGTGTGCGGTCGTGTGTGTGCGAGACAGAAGTAGCAGCAGCAGCAGCAGCACTGGGTACCGAGAAGGGTGTAGAGGACGTTGAAGTGGAGCTTGAAGAAGGGGAAGCGGGAGAGGAGGCAGTAGACCCGCGGGGCCGACACCTCGTATCGCAGCTCCGTCGGGGAGAGGGGCGACGGCGGATTGTAGGCCGGCTGCTTGAAAAACGAGGGCTTCTCCAGACACTGCGCGTATCCAGCAACCGCCAACGTCCACCAATTACGTAAATAAAATATGCGGGCCGGCCCAATGATGCCTGAGCCATGGGGTGGGACGTACGGAAAGAAGCTCGTTCTGAGACACGCAGATGCCATAGAGAAGCGCACCGTTGCCGGTCATCAAGAAGAGGAACGAACGCTCGGAGTCCTTGAGCTCCTTCATCGTGCTGTTGTGCGATGGACGCCCATCCGAGTTGGTTTTAGTTTGGAGCAGAAGAAGAAGAAGAAGAAGGTGAGAGAGATGAGCGCAAACCAGTTGGCGAGCTCGAGGGTGGCAGTCTTCTGGTCGGCCGTCTTCTTGCGAAGCGAGACCGTAGGCGTCACGCCTGCCACAATCCACGGGACCAACCACGGCGTGAGCTGCCATCGGGCCAATTCAAACACAAAATATAAACGAAATATGATGTGATATTATAAAAAGAAATAAATAGTTATGTGCCGTAAGGGTACCATTGGGGAAGCAGAAGTGAACGACCTGCTCGTTGAGCTGGTTGTCCTCGGGGTACTGGTAGAGGATCACCGGCTCCTGCCGGCGCGCCTGGGCCGAGGCCTTGATCTCCACCTTGGCGGCGGGCGGGTAGCCCACCACGCAAAAATAGTCGAATATGTGACCCTCGCGGTTGGGCCGGATGGCGGCCTTCAAGCTCACCGACGTTCGCCTGCATTACCACACGATCAGATCACGAACGCAACACACTACGAGAGAGAGAGAGAGAGAGATATCAACGTGCCTGGTCAGCTCATTCCTGGCGAGCTTGCTGATCGTCTTGTTCAACCGTGACCTCTGCACAGTGCGAACGAGGCAGAACAACAAGTGGGTAAATAAATGAATAAAGACGAAAAAGGGATAAAATAAATGAATAAGAAAGGCCGAAAGAGAGTATCGCGATAAATCAAAAAGGTGAGATCAAGATTGATCAGAGTAGCGGCAGCTTGCAAGAGCAGGGCGGAATCAAGAAGGAGGAAAGGGATGAGAGGGGGGCGAGGTGCACCTCGCGCAGGCCACCGCGCTGAGATCGGACGGTGTAGAGGTGAATGCTGTCGTAGATGGAATCGTGGGGCAGGGGCGACATCGGGGGCGGTGTGCGCATGGGGGTGAGCGTGTTGGCTCGCGCCCGGCGGGTGCCACGAGGGGACGACGCCCCACCACTACCTCCATTTGATGCCAACGTAGCGATGTGGAGGGGCGAGGGCGGAGGCGATCGAGGCGAAACCGGCTGCTGTGTGCTCTTGGTGATGCTGCGTGGCGGGGTGGCCGTGGATGCCGTGGCCGCTCTGGTTCTCTGTGGTTCGGCGTCCATCTGCACCTACAGTTCGGGCACAATTGATCGAGAAAAGGTGAGCGATCGCCCATGCCCATGACATTGCCATTTTGTTTGCTGGAAAGCCAGAGATCGAGAACGAAGAGATTTTGGCGAGACACCAGATAAAATGAAGGCGCTGAGATGGAGAGAGAAGAGGTACGCGCAGCCACAGCGATCGAATAAGCAGAACTCAATAAGCAAGTTGGTTTACCTGTGATGAAGATATCTCACACGCCTTCAGCTCCACGTCAAGTGCTCTCGGGCCTGGATGTTGGTTCTATGGCAAAGGTCACTCTCGCAGCATAGCTGCCAGCGTAGGCAAGTGAGGTGGTGCTCCTTACACACGTGAGCTCTCTCCGTCCTCCTTCCTCCTCGTGGGTCCTTCTTGTCTGTCTTCTTGGCTTACGTCAGCCGGCGGGGTTATCATCAATTAATATCACTCTGGCATGTGCGAAATTTAAAGAAGGCCTGAGCGTAGATTCCACAATAGGCCTCTAAAGAGAGGATAAAGTTCTGCTTGTTTAGCCACTAGCCCCCAGCAAGCCACTATGATATATATGGTGATATGTATGTCAGGAGAAGACCGAACAATGGGATTCGGATTCGCGTGGCTGAGGGGAGTATGATCACACGCAAGACGTTGTGGCCGAGTGGTTAAGGTGCCTCGCTGCTAACGAGGTGGGGTTTCCCCGCGCAGGTTCGAATCCTGCCAACGTCGATCTCATCATTTTACATTGTAACCACCGCTTCTGGTCATTAATGCTTGCCGGGCAGAATCTCGTTTTGCCTCTGGCACTGCGGCTTCGTCTCACAAGAAGGGTGGGTGGGCTGTGGACAAAAAACCTCTACTGAATTGAGAATATATGATGACCTTCATCAACATCTTGTTCTGCAAGCTGGGGAGGTCAACTGCGTCACTGCTGGCTGATGATGGGGCTGGCGGTGGATGCGGTGAACTGGTTGAGGGTGAACGTGTAGAGCGAGAGGTTGCCGTCTTGGCAAGCCGTCGCGGGGAAGACGAGGCATTTGCCCAGCGAGGCGTCGGTCACCAGCATGGGGGCGCCGAAGCTCACCTGCTGGTCGGTCTGGAGGATGAACTGCAATCCGGTGGCCGTAGTGCGGACCTGCCCGCCGAGGCCCACCACAAAGCCGTCCCAGAAGTTGAAGGCCGGCACAGCCCACGTTGATGTCCTGTAGAAGTCCTCCGCGTCTGATGATATCAGAGAGGTGTGAGACGGGTGAGGCCTGTGGCCAACATCAGACAACAACACCGCACGCACCACACACACGCACAAACCCCCGCTTGGGCGTACATGAGTCCAACACCCACTTGGCGTTGCTCAGCGTGCCAGTGATGCGGGCGTTATCGCAGAAGGCGCCGCCTGAGCTCGACATGTAGAGCTGGCTCGAGGGGGTGGCCGCCAGCGCGTAGACCTCGCACCCGCCGCCGTTCACGGTGACGTCGCTGTCGAGCTGGCGGAGGTAGACCGGGTCGAGGGTGAAGGTCAGCGTGCAACCACCCATCCACCCAGTCCCACACAGCGTCGCGTTGCGGATGGGTCCGGCCGCCAGAACGTAACGCTCGTCCGAAGTGATCGCCACCTTGCCGCCTGTGCGCACAGGTTCGTTCGTTCGTTATCGGCCAGAAGAGGGAGGAGGCGTCTGAATGGTTGGGGGGGGAGGGCTTCTTGACCGTACCGGAGAAGGGCAGGCGCACGCCTGCGTAGCTGCCGCGGGCGAAATCAAAGCGCAGCAGGTGCGTCTCCCAGTCGACCGTCTTGGGTTGGGTTAGCAGGTAGAGCGCCTTGGAGCTCGTCACGACGTCGTACACTCGCACCGACCCCAGAGGGTGGAACTATTGACCCCCCCCTTTTAGTCTCACTCCTCTGCATCTACTTGTTGAAGCAGTGTAGGGGGTGGGTTGCGGGGGGGGGGTGAAGTCTTCTACCTTGAAGGATGGGGAGCCGCCCCAGGGCTGATCAATCTGCAAGATGCTGGACTGGCCGAGGACGTTGTTACGAGCGAACACCAAGTAGAGGCTGCCCCCGCTGTACGCGGCGCCCCGCAGCTGCGCGTTGGAGGCGGCCATGTGGGCCACGTTGTTGGTGCGCAGCGAGAGCGGGGTCTCGACCGTGCCCCACACGTCAGTGGCGTAGAGCTCGGCCGACGAGCCCAGCGTGAAGACGATGCTCGGCACGCCCGCCTGGCCCTGGCCGATGCTGAACGCGCCCGACAGGGCCTCGAACGGCTGCTCGAGGCACGCGGCGGCGGTGGTGGCCGCCGGCCGGACCAGTGACGGCGACGGGGTCGGTGTCGGCGCCGCCGAGAGGGCGCCGGGTGCGCAGCAGAACAGCAGCAGCGCGGTGAAGGCAGCGACGGCTTCGAGCGGGTGGTGTGCGCGCATGGTGGTGAAGAGAAGAACCAAGAAGCCGAGGCCCTGACATACAGCAGTCAACTAATTGGAAAAGCCCGATACTACCGAGCTCCGCCCTCCAATCATGCACCATGTAAGCTGCAACGTCGGGGTTCTGTCAAGAGAAGAAAGAAGAGCTTGTGTAGTGGTTGTACGATGATGGTTGTTGCAGATGGGCAGTAACAGAACATGACGCTTTCTATTCTTCGAAACTCAGAGGCTGAGGTCGGCGATGAAGAACGAGGCGTAGGTGTGGACGCGATCCAACTCGTGGAGCCTGTTGGCGGTCTGGTAGTCGTACTTGAGGACGTCCTTGACAGTGACAGTCTCGTGACCTGCGCGGCACACAATCGCGTCAGCGCAAGCCAAGCGTCATTCACGAAACAGAGTGATGGATATCAGGTGCTTAGCAAGTAGGTGGATGTTTCCCCCTTCGTGGAGGCGAGACGGCCAGAAGAGACCGCCCCGCCGGAGAGGACCACGAAGGTGGGACTCGTAATTTGCTGTGGCACCGTTCATAGAGTGACCCGGTGTGGGCAGTCACAGGGACACCACTCTCGGTGCGACGCCTCGAGGCGGAGAAAGGGGGAAGAAAGAGGACCGGCGGCGGAAGCGGTACCGTTGGGCAGGGTCACGCTGGTGTCGCCGACGAAGGTGGCCTCCTTGCTAGCACTTCGCCACAGGAACCTGCAGTTGTCGGTCGAGTGGGCGACCATCTCGGACCACTCCTCGCTCAGGGCCTGTTCACACGCACGACGTGGTGGTCGGTCAGTATTCTTTGTCGCCGGGGGGAAGGGTGTTCTCCTTCTTGAGTGGTGGGGGTACCTTGGGAGCCGAGGCCATCCAGTCCATGTGGTCGAGGAGCACGAAGCGGCTGATGTCCTTCTTCTTGTGCTCCCTCAGGAACTCGGTGATGGTGGTGGTGTGGATCGAGATCTTGTCGACAGCTCCGTTCTTCAGGGTCTTGAAGCCCTCCTCGGTGAGGTAGTCGGGGCAGCAGTCCTTGGTGTACTCACCGGTGAGGTAGACGCGGTAGAAGTAGTTGTCGTGGATGGGCAGCTTGGTCATGATGGTCTCCATCGAGTCCTTGATGAAGAGGCCGATCGACTTGAAGCCTCCCTCCTTCTCGAGGAGCTCGCGCTGGGCCTCGGGCACGCCGTTGAGGAGGGCGAGGGTGAAGCTGCGCTCGAGGAACCACATGATGACGGGGTTCCACATCCTCTTCTCGATCTTGGTCTTGTAGATGTGCTTCTGCTCGTCGATGGTCTTGGCCTCCATGAGCTCCAGGAGCGGACGGTAGACGCCGATGAGACGGAAGTAGCCCAGCATCACCCACGCGAGGATGCCGCTGCACTGCATGGCCGCCGACGCGTGTCCGGGTGCGGAAAAGGAAAAATTAGCATTTAATTACCAAATCGGCACGTGTGGCAATTTCAGTTGCAATTTCAGGAAACAACGAATAAAACGAAACAAATAAAAATAAGTATAATTAATGAAATAAATAAGTGGATGCGAGCAGGGAAGGAAAGGGGTGCTGCGTACGCCGTGCCAGAAGTAGGAGGGACGAAGGCCAGTGCCGTTGAAGTAGTGGGCATGCGAGTCCCAGAAGGCGCGACCAGCGGTCGAGAGGTGCTGCCTCAGGCGCGGGTAGTGGACCTTGGAGAAGTTGGGCAGACGACCTGTCGCATCGATGACGGTTTGGAGGTAAACGGAGAGGAAAGAGGAACATGTCAGCTTGCATAAATCAAGGGTTCGACGAACAATCTCTATTTGACGCCGCTACACAAGAAATAAATCTGAAGCCGCCAATTTTCGACAAGATCGCAAATTTGATGAAATTGTCGGGCTCGCATCGGCCAAGTGAGCAAGCAATGCGGTGTACACATAGTTGATTAAAGGGAAAGAAGGGAGATTGTAGATGAATGAAATGAAAGAATGAACGAGTAGAAGACGTACCGGTGCCGAAGAGCTTCCAGAAGGTGGCGTAGTCGTACTCGCGGATGGCGGCGAGCTTGAGCTCGAGGAGGGCGTTCTGGCAATGGTTGCGATCAATGCTGTAGACGTGCTTAGGACCCTCAATCGCGAGCGACAGGACGTTGCAGCCGGCCGTGGTGATGATGACCACCTGGTCCTCCTCGGTGAGCTTGAGGGCCTCGCGGTCGAGCCTGGGGTCCTCCCACGCGCAGTTGAACACGATTTGCGACGTGTAGCAACGGGCCACGATCCAGTTGAAGATGGACGAGAAGATCGACATGACGAGGGCGAAGATGGATCCGATAAGGCCCGGCCTCGACGTAGAGGTGGCGGCCATGATGAGCTGAAGGAGGAGAAGAAAGGGGGGAGGGGTGGGTTCGAAGTGGCGAGAAGCAAAGAAGAAGAGGGAGGCGAGTGGTGGCCGGAGGTGAGGGTCACCCTGCGCCGGCCGCATAGTCGACAGATTATCGAAAGGCGCAGATGACTTTTCCTACCCGTAATACCCCGAAAACCAATACGCTCGCGAGGTGCTTTAAAGGCAGACCCAATCGGCGAGCTTTCCATATCCCTTAAATTATTCCCCTAACCACTTGCTGTCTCCTCCCCGGCGAGAACTGGACCAGCTCAAGGCCGAGTGCACCAGACTTGGGCGCACGTAAACACGCGATGGCACATGGTTGGGACTTTTAGCAACGCAGCAGCATGAACGCTTACAGGCTTGTTGTGGAGTGGTGGAGAGAGGTTGAAGGTTGTGGTGTGATGCGGTGTGGTGTGGTGGGGGATGGTATGGGTCTATGTGTTGAAGTTGAGAGGCAGGGCAGAGGGAAGGCCGGACGACATGGAGGTGATGGTGCTCGATAGGCTCACGGGGAACTGCACTCGACTTGGTGGCTTGGGCCTGGGTGCAGTCATCCTCGCGATCTCCTCGAGGAAGGCCGCCGACGAGTCCTCCATGGGCGCCGACGCGGGCTCTGATGATGACGATGACGACGAGCCGCTACCACCACTGCCAGACGTCGGTGCTGTTGAAGAGCTACTCGATGACGTGGATGTGGCGGGCGCGGTGCCCTTCTTGGACACGACCACCTGGTAGTTGGTCTCGTTGAGGCAGAAGTGGTCGGGCGGCAGCATGACGCCGAATCGCTTGTTGATGGGCGGCAGGCGGATGATGTTGATGTCCTGCGCCATCTCGCGCAGGAAGTCGATCGAGGGCGGTTGTGAGAAGGCCGAGAAGGCGTGGTCCACGCGGTACTTGATGGCCAGCTGCACGTCGTCGGCCTGAATGGCGTCCCGTCGTCCGGCGTGCTCACAGAAGAGCAGAGAGTCGGCGAGCACTTCGCAGACGTACCGATGCATGAACTCCAACAGCTGATTGACCTACGTTATAGGGCATCGAGAGGAAGGGGTTCAGATGCGAGCTTACATAGAGCACAAGGAGAATCAAAGAAGATGGAACATAGGCAAAGGTTGCACAAAAAGGGGAGCGATTTGAAGGATATGCGATGCAAAATGAACGCTCCCCCCCTCTAAATGTAATTAAATTAAGGAAGACGAGGATTTACCACAGCGGGCTCGCAGTCGCTCACGCCGCTTGATCGGAGGATCTTGGCAATCGAGTGGACGTCCTCGGGGAACGTCCCGGGCAGTGCTTTCTCAATCTCCTCAAGAGCATTTAGGCGGGCATTCGCCCTGTCTGCCCCGCTGCTGGTAGATACTGTCGATGTAGATCCATTCTCACTCAATTCCGGAGGATCCACTTCCATTTTGTGTATGTCTGTTGTTGGCGCCCCTCTCCTTCTCCAGCGAATGTGTTTTTCGTCTTGTGGCTCCTTCGCTGCGTCTGTCAATTCAGCAAATCAAATAAATTGTCTTTCTAAAAGAAATAAGTGGAAAAGGCCAACGGTGCAGCTCGGGAGAGTGAAGAGAGATGGAGGCTGCAGGAGAAGACGTTCGCACCGATGTCGTGTCGGAAGTAGCATGTCATCTGGATGAACTGCCCCAAGAGATCCTATTTCTCATCCTCACCCACCTGCGCGACGTCAAGGAGGTGGCCAGCGGTACCCAACCCACCCTCATGCTCCTCATCGTCTGATCGCCAGCATTTTGCTCTCAGGAAATCTTCATTTCCCACCATTCGACGTTGTTTCATCTTTTTGACATTCTCTCTCGTCTTCCTCCTCAGTGTCGCGTGTTAGCAAGCGTTTCTACTCGCTGCTCGCATCCAATGCCATCTGGAAGCTGGTGCGCCTCCAGCCGTCGCAGCGTGGCCTGTGTGCTGTGCTGTGTATGTGCGTGGACGACTCACACGCGCTCTTCTCCTCCATCGCGACACTGCATCGCAGCTGTACTGCGCCAAGTGGGAGGCCAACCCGCTGCTGCCCAACTTCCTGGAGGTGATCGGGCGGCCCGCCGAGGAGGTCCTCAAGGAGGACGCCGACGACGACACCGACGGCCCGTCCATCAAGGACGCCTTCAAACACAAAGTACTCAGTGTCGTACGCACGCCCATGCAGTTCCAGAAACTGACGTTGTGAGCGCGTGCCATGTGTGTGCCGTGCGTGTGCCGTGTGTGTCGTGCGGTTCCAATGGGCAGTACTTCCTGGAGCAGCGATGGTTCAAGGGCGAGTGGACGCGTCAGAGCTTTCTGGCCCACCCGGGCTCTTCGGTGAACGGCCTCAAGTTCGTGGCCTCGCCCTCCTCCTCGGCCCCCGCCACCCTCGTCACCTGCTCCGACGACCACACCGTCCGCGGTACCGCTTCCCCTCCCGTCGCACATTCCCGCGCCGACGCCTCACAACGCTATCAACCCCTCGTGTGCGTATGCGCGTGTGCGGTGGTGTGTGTGCGTGCCGTGTGTGTGGTGGTGGTGGTGTGTTGTGTCGACAACATGTAGTTTGGCAGCCGGTGGCCGTTGCCGCGCCGCCGGAGCCGGCCGGGGACGACAGCGACTCTTCGTTTTTCTTCTCCAATTCGCCTGGTACCAATAAGGCTGAGCTCTGCGCCGCATTCTTGTGTCGACTAACGTGCACCCTGGGTGGTCGGTCCTCTTCTGGGTTCGCACAGGCAGCCTGTTCTCGTCGTTTCGCAATTCCAAGATCAGGAATCTCGGGCTCTCGCTCACGGCTAAGCCGCAGCTCGAATGCACGGTACCGTGGTTCCGTGTCGTCTCGTCTCGCGTCGTCTGCGCAGAGTGCGAAGCGCTCACACACAACACGTACGACTCTCGACTACGTTCATTCATACAGGACACGCTGAAGGGACATCAGTCGGTGGTGTGGTGTGTTGACTACGACGGCAACGTGATCGTGTCGGGCAGCCACGACGAAAGGTGGCGATTTCGCCCCCCCCCCTACGAGTGCGTGCAAGTGTGTATCTCACCCCGCTCTTTGTTTTCATCACCTTTTAGTGTGATCGTGTGGCGAGACGGAGCGATCGCACACAACTTTGCCAAGGTGCTCGACGGTGGAATCAACGGCATCATCCTCCACGAGAACGTACGGCTACACCTTCAACGCACGCCCACGCCCACGCACATGCACACACGCGCTACCTCTGTTCTCTGTTCGTTCACACTCACAAAACCACATGGGCGCAGTCGGTCCTGGCGCGAAGTCGCATGGGCAAAGAGGTGGTGCTCACCGACATCGAGGCCTGCAAGCACACCGTCAGGTCTGTAGTCACCCAAGCAATTGAAAACAACACAAATTCTGTCGCCGTCTGAGGCCTTTGGCCTCACACCAACCTACGCCGCGGCTCAGATATGATTCGAATTCCTACGGCGTGTTCTCGTTCGACGCGTCGTGGGAGGACAACGTGCTGATCAGCTGCGGCGGCAAGGCCCTCTACTGCTGGGTACCTCCTCTTTCGCTCCTTCACTCCTCCACCCATGATGACCTCATCGACAATCTCATTCCCGTGTGTGGTGTGTGTGTGGTGTGCGGTGCGTGTGGTGTGTGGTGTGTGTGTGTGCCATCAGGACATGCGTACGAGCGAGCCGCAGTTCTCCTACAAGATCCCCACGCAGATGGGCCGATTCGAGGTGCTCAAGCTCAAGACCGGCACGCACCTCCTCGCCACCGGCGACTCCGACGGCGACTGCGCCTTCTGGGACCTGCGCGTCGTCTCCTCCGCCGCCATGACGCCCTTGGCATTCGCCCCCGCCTCGTCATCAACCTCATCGACAACGTCACCCTCACCTTCATCATCAACTTCTTCTTCATCACCGTCTCCGCCTTCGATGGGCTCCCCGCGGCTGTCCTCGTCGCCACCGTTGGCCTCGCTCGCGACCTACCCCTCCAGCTCGTCTTCTTCGTCGGCCCTGTTCTCGTCGTCATCCTCCCCACCGGCCGCCACCTCCTATCTCGCCACCTCAGCGGCCTCGCCGGGAGGCGGCGGCCTGTCGTCGTTGGCCGGTGCGACGACGGTGGGTTCCAACAAGAACCCGGGCCACATCACGAGCTTCATACATGGCCTCTCGCCCGTGTGCGGGCTCTACTTTGACAACAGCAAGCTCGTGTCTGCCAGCAAGTCAGGTGCGTGTGTGTGTCGTGTGTGTCGTGTGTGTCGTGGTGCAGGCCGACTGATGTTGGTTCTCGAGTGCAGGAATCATCAAAGTGTGGGACATTGGGTGTTCGAAGGACAAGAGCAGCCAATTGGCCAGGTGCAAGATCGACCTGGGCAGCAAGGTGTGGTGCTTCCAGGCCGACGACCGGTCGCTGGTGTGCGGGGACCGGGGCGGGTTCATCCACCTGGTCGACTTTGGCGCCGACACGCGCCCGCGCTTTGGCGGCATGACCGCTGACTCCAAGTGCTCCCTCCAGTGATCTTCTTCTACCACGACCAGGTTGAGATTTGCCTCTCAAAATTCGAAGAGCTCGGCTTCGCTTAACCCCTTCTTTAACATTTCTGGGGTGTGGCTACAACTCGCCAGAAACAAGACAGGTTTGCTGAGGACTTACTATCAGATCACCAGTGGAGAGGAATGGAGAAGGCGGCGTCTAACTTCGGGGACAGCGAAGGGCGCGTGATGGCAGCCACGCCTGCGCCACGATGCCGGTCCTCTGTAGCAGCTAACCTGAGAGCTCTGGGATTGTGTGAGGGCGACGCTGTTGTGGTCCACTCTTCCATGTCATCCATTGGCTGGGTGAGTGCGGCCTACTGCCCCGAAATGTTACATGACATCTGACATCTGGCGTTTATATATATAGTTGTGTGGTGGGGAGGTGGGTGTAATACAGGCACTCATGGACGTGGTAGGCCCTGAGGTACTACCATCATCACCCAGAAGCTTGCTAGTCCATGTCTCACCTTTTTCCACACGCACAACATTGGCAGGGGACAATCATGATGCCATCATTCACCTATGTGTATTCAGACCCGGCCAACTGGAGTGCCCCACCAGCACCTCGCGACTGGCACGACACTATCCGCAGGGAGATGCCTCTCTTCAACCCGCTCTTCACGCCAACGTTTGGGATGGGCCGCATCGCGGAGTGTTTTCGTTCGTGGCCGGGCACGCACCGATCAGGCCATCCACAGGCTTCGTTGACAGCTTGGGGCAAACACGCTCGCTACGTACTCTCCCCCGCCGTTCCTGTGTTCGCTCATCTCACCCGGTCTTCACTCATCATTTCTGTGGCCTATTTTTTTTTCCAGCTGACAGAGGACCACGCACTGGACTACCCGTTCGACTCCACCACCTCACCCTTGGGGAAGATGTCGGCCTTGCCGGGAAGCAAGGTGCTGCTGTTGGGGGTCTCTTGGAACCGCAATTCATCTTTTTACGTCGCCGAGAAGCTGAGCGGTTGCTTCCAACCGACCAAGGAAGGATGCCCCTGGCTAGACGCGGACGGGAATAAGATCTGGCAAGAGTTTGACGATGTGGATAGTGCTGAAGACGAGCTTCTTGAAGAAGTGGGTGCGGCTTTCGAGGAATCTACCCTGCGCGAGTCGGCTTCGTTGACAAGCAAGATCCAGCGCGGGAAGGTGGGATCGGCTTCGTGTCGTCTGTTTGGCTGTAAAGCGAGCGTGGACTTTGCTGTGCTGTACTACCAACAGAAGAAGTACTCTAAGTGATAATAAGTCGTTTGCACCACCACATCGACATTCTTATTACTGGTTTAAAAACAAAATAGCACTGCCAACGGGACCCAACTTGAGGTGTGTGCTGGTTCGAATCCCACACTGCCGGGACGGTAGGTGGGAAAAAGCATTCTTTTTCCCACCTTCCCGCAGACGGAAAAAACCACCAAAAGCCAGCACATTGAGGTCACCAAAGTCCACCTTGCAACTTGTCGTGTTTTGTTTTAAAAAGAACCCACCTTTTCACCACACCCACCTTCTTTGTTCTTCCTCCCCTTCTCGCCGCTGGTCGGGCTCCCTAGTGCCCGTCGCTGGTCGTCGCCGCTGGTCTTAGTCGCCGTGGTCGGCTCGATGATGGTCCTGCTCCTCGCTGGTGCCCGCCGCTGGTCGGCCTTGCTCGCCATCGTTGTTGGTAGTCGCCGCTGGTCGCTCTCGCTAGTACTGGTCGCTGGTCGTCGCCGCTGGTCGCCCTCGATATATTGGCACCCGACTTCACGATGATCTGAGTTCGTCGGGGAAGTCGTAGCTGCGGAGGTTGCCCAGCGCGACGAGGAAGTTGGTGGCCTGGCGGTCGTTCCAGAAGAACGGGTGGCGCAGGATGTTCTCGTGGCACTGCTTCTTGCGCTCGAGGCTCGGGTCGTACCAGGCACGGGTGTGCGGGTCGGCCATGAGCAGGTTCTCGAGCAGGTGGCGCGTGGCGGCGAGCTTGTGCGGCCACGGGATGACCTCGGCCAGGCGCGGCCGATCGAACAGCCGCCCGGCGGCCAGTTCTCCTCGCCCGTCAGGAGGTAGAACAGCACCAGGCCCAGCGAGAACAGGTCGCTGGTCAGCACCGCGCGCTTTCCCAGCAACTGCTCCGGCGCCGCGTACATGTAGGTCCCTATGTGTGCAGGTGGCGTTGATTAAGTGGCGCGATGTGTGTCGTGTGTGCGGTGGTGCGTGCATCGTGTGTGGTGTGTGTGTGTGTGCGGTGGTGCGTGCGTGCGTGCGTGCGTCGTGTGTGTGTGTGTGTGCGTGTGGCCGTACCGGAAAGGACGCCCGTGGTGTTAGCGGTGGTGTTGCTGCTGAGCTCTTTGGCGATGCCGAAGTCGATGAGCTTGATCTGCGTCATGGTGTCGACCAGAATATTCTCCGGCTTTTTTATGCAACACCCAGGCACGTTACATGGCGTAAGGACTTGCTCTGCGTTGCTGTGTGCGTGCCGAGCGTGCGGCAAAAGTTGTAAGGTACCTTGATGTCGCAATGCACGAGACCGCCATGGCCCCGCCAGAGGTCGTCCAGAGTGCGCAGCACCGATCCCACAGCGTACTGCGCAGCGTCACATCGTCAGCACACCACTGCACAGTACTCAAAGGGCCAGGAAATGAAGGCAAGAAGTAGGACTGACCTGGCAGGTGAGAAAGTGGGTGGGCCGGCCGCTGAGCATGCCCTGCGAGTGCCACGACTGGACAAGCTCCTTGAGGTTGCACTCCATGAGCTCAAGGGCGATGTAGTGCTCGATCTGCGGGTCGTGGCGGTCGGTCAGCGGGCCAGACAGGATCACAACATGTCCAAAGTAGCACACAGGACCCATCACGCTGTTGCATGTCTTGAGCAGGTCAATCTCCAACTTGATCTGAAGTAAGCGCTGGCTGCAACTGAGGAGACTAGAGGGAGGCTAGCATACGGTGGGATCCTCAATCCTGAGCTCAGCGTTGTCCTTGGCCTTCAGCTCAAGCTCAAGGTTGAGCAGCAAGATCTTGGGGTTGGGGATCTTCTTGGGCTGCTGCTTGAAACCAGCGTATGAGAAGCATGGTGCACATCTCCTACCAGGCAATCAAATGGATTCGCATGAGGCTGATCAAAATGAAGGAACCAATTGATTAGGCCGCATGGAGAAGAGAAAATGGGTGAGTACCTCTTTGTCCTGTGATCAAGTGATATCAACCTGTGTGAGCGGCAGGGTGCATGACGTCCAGCAGCTTCATGATCATAGTGCTGTTGTTGGAGATGGTGATGTTCTGGCCCTCATAGATCAATTGGCTGATGAGCTGGGCCTTGCCCTGCGATGTATTGGTTCCTCCTTGATGATGATGATGCTCAGTTGCTGCACCATTCACATGGAAATTAGTCATTGTGATTCTACAAAACATGTACCAGCCTCCATCATCATCCATCCTCACACATGACAATGGTTGCGCAGGTGGGTAAAAGGGAGGAGCATGCGCACCAGAATTCACGTGATGATGGCTACGTCAGGGGCGAGGCAAATTGGGCGGAGCAGCGCGGATTTGGCGCAAAGTCCAAAGGGCACATGCCAGAAATTTTTGAGGATGGTTGCCCTGTTTTTTCCGGACACCGTAACTGGCGGAAGGGCGAAATCTCGGTTCGAGGTGGAATTCTCGGAATCCCGGTTCGAAAAAAATTTGAAGTCAAATCGTGAGTGCCAACAAGCGCACCATCGATGCTGAAGTGAGTAGCGGGCGTCGCAGCTTGGGTTGTGGCCTGCGATGGGCGGGCAGGGGCAGCGCAGGGCCACTGGCGGTCTGTGCTGTGCCACGCTCCAGCAGCACCACCACCGCCGGTGTCAATTTTCTGTCACACAGCACACACGATCGCACGACACGCACACAAACCTAGAAAAAGCGGCGGTAAGGAATGGGCTAGTGAACAGTGCTCAGGTTACAGCTGCGATCACCTGCATGAGTTTGCGCAGGGGTATAAGCCATGACGCCCACTACTCACTTCAAGTCTTGATACCTTCCAACTCCTTGACACCACAGCTTGCTCCGGTGAGAAAAAAGATCACATGTTTTCCACCTCTCTGGTGGACTTGAGGTGGTTGACCACCTTGCAGAGCGGATCCACGTCACATCCACCTCTAAGTGTACTCAAGGTGGACATGAAGATGGAACATGTTCATCTTCCATCCACCAAGGTGCCCCCAAGGCAGACTTGAAGACAGAACGTTCCATCTTTCGTCCATCAAGGCAAGCTGGTCCAGCTCCAGGTCACCCAAAAAGGTGGGAAAAGGGTGGAATTGAGCGTCAAGGCGCGCAAAATCATCACTTTCCCATCTACCATCCTGGCAGTGCACCTAGTTCTATTTCACCAATTTTGTCTTGTGGCTGTGAACGGGCCACCTGTGGTTGCTGATGGGTAGCATTACACATTTGTAGTGCACAGTTGTGTGGCACAACCAACCAATGCTTTGCAAGTGTGGCAACTTAGGCAACCAGCCACAACAGGTGAGGATTTAAGGAGGAGCCCAGCTGGCCAAACACATCAAACCAACTGCACAACAAAGCAAGCCAACAACAGCCACAACTCTCTTCACCACCTACAACTGAACAATCCATCATCAGCATGAAGCAGCTCGTCACAATTCTGTTGTTCACCACCATGATGATTGCTTTGAGGTACATGGTGTGTGTGTGTGTGTGTGCAGTGTGCATGTGGTTGATGCTGATGTGTGGACACTCTACACTTCCCCTACAGTGCGGCTGGCGGAAAGAAGGGTGGGTGCCCACCAGGGGAGGAAGTCAAAGGGATCTGCTGCTGCCACAGTTGCAAGAAGAAGGTCAATGGCAGGTGGCAGCCCATCCAGCAGTTCATGCCCCACTCCACCAACAAGGTCATCATTGATGACGGCCAGGCCGCCAAACAGTTCTGCCACAACAAGTGCTTGGGTGGCTTATATGTGGAGCAGCTTGGCTTCTGGGTTGATTGCAATCCAGTGGCCAGTCAGGCAGTCTTCTCACCCAAGGGTGTGTGCCCTCCCATCCAACTCCCCAACAGGTGTCAGTGAGCAAGTGACTGAGGTGCATGCACCTCAACCTTGGTCATGATTCTCTGCTCTCCTGACATCACTCCCCCCAGCTTGACCCATAACACAATCCACTGCAGCCTCCACTCCACACTCCCTCCAGCTCCTGTTTGCACCATCATCACATAAACTTCACTTTATTCACTTGCCACTAGCTGACCCCAGCCTGCTTTCTTATCAAAAAGCGCTCCATCGCCCACACCCCACACTGCCACTACACATGACACACAAATCACAACACAACACACAACACACACAACACAATGTCAGAGCTGTGCAGAATTGAAGCAAACAGCAGGGGGAGGAGCAGAGAAGAGTACCAGCAGTTCTGGGTGACACAGCACAGCTTGTCACCACACAGCTGGAGCACACAGTAGGTGAGGGTGTGCCAGTCATGGATGTCCTCACTCATGTTGAACACACACAAGAGCGCCCACGTCCACACGTTCCACACCATCACCTTCCAGTACATGGCCAGCACCTGATGCCACTCACTCTCCTCCTCTGTCTTCACCATCACCACAGCTGCCAACACTGATGACGACAACAACACAGCAGGCAGGCGCCACATGAGCTGCCAGTCAACACCAGTGACACAGATGTTGCACTTACCAAGACCACTGACAACCACATGGCGCTGAGCAGCTCCAACGCAGCTCCTTGATCACACGCCACTCTCCACTGCGCTCATCAACATGGATCAGATGCAGTGCTGTCTCTGAGTGCTGCATTGTTGCTGGTCAGGTGGACCCTGGTTGTCACTACTTGCTATAGCCAAAGGCCAGCATGAGCAGTAGTGCCCAGTGCACAATGCACAAATCATGTGCCAGTTGATGTTCCTCATCCATTTGGTGGTCAAGACCTTCACCACTCAAGAGAATGAACTTACACAAATTCCCCCTTCATGCCTTAATCCAGCTCTTTTGCTTTGTGTGGATGGTACACATTGAGGAGTGAACCAGCAGAAGGTCAGTTTCACCCATGGGATGAGGTTTCTGCACCTGTTCTCCTTGAGAGCACATTGACCAAATGACAGCCATCACATTGAGCATGGCCACCACACTCTTTGTGCATGATGGTGGGGTCCACTCCTTCTCCTGCTCCACCACCAGCAGATACATGCTGTTCCTTGTCAGTTTTGCCACTTTCTGCTGTAGAGAGAAGTCACCCTTCATCACAGAGAAACCCAAAATCCAGAAACAAGCCAAGTTGTAGTGCAGGTGTGATATAAAAGCTGACAATGCAGCCATCACCAACACCAAGCAGGCAGGCACACCTGAAGTTGAGGCCATAGGTGGTGGATGACCCTGGTCCTGTGATGGGCATCTAAGCCTGTGATGCCTGTGCACACCAGCACCAGCAGGCAGATTCACAGCTGCCCTGATGGCAACAGTAATGAGGTGCTTGGTCTGTTACTTGGCCTGGATGAACACAATTCCCCAAAACCTCCAACCCACTCAACACTCACCCCAATTTGATTGAGTGAAGAAAAGATGGATAGACTAGTGAGCCACTTAACTGGGCGAGTCTTTCCTTGTTTGCACCACCATGGTGGTGGTGTCAATTGTGTGTTAATGATGGTGTACTTTTTTTACTAAGTTTGGCTGTACAGATTGAGTGCCACCAGATACACTAAGAAGCTAAAAGTGCTGCAAAGTGAGAGAGAAAACTGCTGGGAATGGCATCTAATTCGCTGATGAAGAAACAAAAGAAGTGCTGCTAATTGGGTCACTGGCAGGTTCAGGACTCGTTCAATCAAGGCCTGGTCGCTGTCCATGCGTGCCAGCCACAGGGCGGCAGGCCCACCCTCGACCAGTCCGTGCATGGAGTGCACGACCCCCAGCACTCCTTGACAGTCCCGCCCTTCGCCATGCATGGGCGGGTCTTGCGCCGACGCTCCCGCGCATGTGCTGCTTGTACGAGCCAACTCGCGCTCGCGCACCAGCTTGGCTATATCGAGCAACTACACACGCGCAGAAGTGAGTGCGCAATTGCACAGAAGTGAGTGCATTGAGCGTGTGTTGTTGCACGACATGACACGACACGCACGAGTGCGGTAAGCACCTCTTCGAAGAATCTGCTGCCTCCTCCCTCTCCACAGCCGTTGCCTCTGCGCGGCGGGCGACTGGGATCGAGGGGGTGTCGTGGGGCGCCGTGTTGGCCCGCGTGCCACTTGCCCTCGTTGTTGCTGTGGAACGCGCGGCGGACCAGGATGGCACGAGCACCACCTCGACCAACTCCCAACGCCCACCAGCCCCGTGCCCCCGCAGGTGCAACTCAACGTTGACCTTGTACAGCCGCCAGTCCGCTGTCGCTTTGGCGATGAGCTCGCCTACCTTGTGTGGCGACTGGTGAAGCACGTCAAGTGATCAGCTTCAGTCGTGGATGGCGGAAAGAGGCGTACCAGGCCCAGAGGCCCCACCTTCGGGAGCAAGGACCGACGCATGGCTGGTGCCAGCACCGCACACGCTCAGGCAGATCGCGCATGACTCCCCTTCGTCTTCCTTTTCGCTTTCTTTCTCTTTCTCTTCGTCGTTGTCCGCATTATCATCATTCCGGCAGAATTTCACTCGATTCGCAGCATCTAATCTGGCTCTGGTTGGAGATGAGCTCATAGTTGATGGCTTGTTGAAGGTGGAAGATGTCGCGCGCGCTTGCAGCGACGAGCAAGCCAAGAGAGATTCCACGAGGAAGCGATATGTGCCCGACGTGAAAGCTTGCCGAGATGGGGTCCACCACCCACTGCCCTCGCCCACTCCCGCTCCCGTTGGGCCGTTTTATAAAACACTCTCGGCAACACCATCTCAACACACTATCAACACACCACACTCCTGACACACACACACACACACACACACCACCGCACGCACGCCACACACTCACACAACACGATGGCGACAGTCATCCAAACAACCACGACCACCACCGAGGTTCCCGGCTCCAAGAGGCACTTCTGGGACCGCGAGCCGTTGCTATCGCTGCGGCGAGTGCTGTGGATCGTGCTGGGCGGGTGGATGTTCTTCCTCGTCTTCTTCTTCGTGGGCGTGGCCTTTGCCATATCCATTGTAGGCATGCCCATGGCCTACGAGTTCTTCAAGTTCGCTCGCTTCCTCCTTCTGCCCGTCGGCTATCGCGCCATCTCCCGCAGCGGGAAGTACGTCAAGGACTTTCTGCTTTCATCTTTTTCTATATCTACTTCATTTGTTAACGTTCATCTCTTGTTTTGATGGATAGGTCGAAGAACCCGCTGAGGCGACCGAGGGACACGGCCTGCGTGGTGGCCAACGTGCTGTGGCTCATCTTCTTCGGCTGGTGGCTCGCTCTGATGCTGGTCGTGCTCATGGTCATCCAGGCTGTGACCATCATCGGCCTGCCGCTCGTGGTCGAGTTCCCCAAGCTCATGAAGTTCATCATGTGGCCCTTCGGCAAGAAGATCATCAGCAAGAAGTCCTACCGCGCTGGTGTGGCGGCGGGCGCTGCGCAGACCGCCACTGTTGTGCCTGGCACCACCGTTGTCACCAGCGTCTAGACAAAACATCATAAAAGCTCACAGAAGCAGTCCCACCCTTGGGAAAAAAAAATGAAAAAAGAGAAGGGGGCGCCCGGGTTTGAACCGGGGACCTGACGATCTGCAGTCGCCTGCTCTACCACTGAGCTACGCCCCCCACTTACGTCTATGTCCCTCATAATCGGGGACCCAGAAGCTGAACTCACCTATTGCAAACACAGAAATTGCAGCCACAGGACCCAGATCCTTGGGCATGATCTGCTGGATTTCAACCTGCTGTGGAGAGATCTCATGAGTCATACCTCTTCTTCTCATGAGACCTCTCCAAGATATGACTCAAGTGCTTAGATCTGAATGAAAGTTCTTGTTACAAGGGCTTGCCAGAAGGGGTGATGGTGTCCTTCTCCTTCTCACTCTGTCCGAGTGCGCTCCCAATCGAGAACTTGCGTCGGTGACCAGGGCGCCCACTGGCCCGCTGCTGCTGTTGTGGTGGCATTTGTGTGTCCGCCGATGTGTCGTCTGCGGCGGTGGTGATGTTGGCCAGCGTCATCTTCCGGATGCGCATCAGCGGGTTAACCTTCAGCACCAACTCCTCGCCCTCGTGTGAGTGCCCGCCGCCACCGCCACCGCCGCGTGGGCTGAGCAGCTCGCCGCCGCCGTGGTAGTCATCGGCAGTCGCTCGGTGGTCGCCCAGCCCGCGCCCGATCTTGAGTAGCGACTTGCCCAGCACGCCGATGCTGCTGCCCACGCCACCGCCGCCGCCCGAAGAAGACGATGAAGACGAAGACGACGCGAAAGATGACGAGGCGCCGAGGTTGAGCTCGCGCTCGTACTCGACCTTGAGGCGCCGCCGCTCGGCCTCGTCCTCCTCGAACTCGCCCAGCATCTGCTTGAGCCGTCGCACGATCTGGAAGAACGAGGGGCGCTCGGACGGCGCGTCCTTCCAGCACGACCGGATAAGATTGGCCAGCTGCCACGGCGTGTCTTGCGGCATTGTCGGTCGCAGCTGCTCCTTCATTATCCTGCGCGTGTGTCATGTGTGCGGTGTGTGCGGTGTGTGTGTGTGTGTGATTTGAGAAAACGAACGCGTATGGACGCATGCCACAAGGGAATCGCACCTGTCTTCGAGGTGGGTGACGAAGGAGTAGTTGTATTCGGCGTAGGGGGTCTCGTGGGACGCGATCTCCCACAGGATCACCCCGAACGAGTAGCAGTCGGCCTTCTCCGACGCCTCCTCGCCTTGGGTGATGATATATATACATATATATGATTATTATTAGTATTTATGATGGAATGTCAGGCAGTCAGCACATTCCAAAGCTGGTACTGCGACGCACCTCGCATGACTTCGGGCGCCAGCCAGAGCGGGTTGTCCACGTCGCGCCCCTGCGTGGTGAGCGAGTACACCGTGGAGAGCCCAAAGTCTGCGCAGACACGTTAGCAGCGCAGGTCGAGCTCGTGGTTAGCCGCAAGTGTGCTTGATGCGCAGGCCGAGGGTCGTACCGGTGACCTTGGCGCGATTGTTGTTGAGCAAAATATTGGCCGACTTGAGGTCCCTGTGGATGATCGGCGGCGATGTGGAATGCAAAAAATACATGCCTGTGCCATGCATGTCACGCGTGTGCGATTGTGCGTGTGCGTGTGCGTGTGCGGTTTCGTGCGTGTGCGTGTGCGGTCGGTTAGAATGGAAGCTTAGAGCGCTGAGCAGCAGAAAAGAGAGGTGAGGGTGGCTCACCCCTGGCGATGTCGAGGGCGATGGTCATTTTGGTCGACAGGTCGACTTCGTTCTTCTTCCGCTCGCGCAGGAAATGGAGGAGGTCCCCCTCGGGCAGGTACTCCATCACCAGCGACAGCGGCGTCTTGCAGAACCCTTGGGTTTTTTGGTTGGTCGTTTGATTGTTTGTTTTGTTAATTGAGTGATCGAAATGATCACCACCGCAGACCAATGGCGCATCAGTCACAATTCACCCGAGTGGGCCGAGGCGTCAAAAAGCTGGCCGTACCGACGAGCCGCACGATGTTCTCGTGGTCCAGGCCGCTCAGCAAACTCACCTCCGATCTGATCAGGTTCTTCGGAGTTAAAATCGCACACACACACACACACACGCACGCGCGGGGTTGTGGCGGTACCGGAACTCTTGGAGGACTTTGAGGTATTCGGCGCGGGAAAAGTGGTCGTGCGAATCGGGCAGCACGAACTCCTTGACCGCCACCTCCTGCCCCTTGTACAGACCTGCACTCGGAGTTGTAAGTCGAGCCGTTGGGTTTAACTCCGAGCCCGAGCGAGGGCTCAACTTTGGGGCGGGGTGGGGGTGGGGCGCGACCTTTCTTGACCAGAGAGACAGAGCCCCGGGCGATATCGCCCAGGATCTGGATCTCGGCGTACTCGATCTGAAACCGCTCCAGGCCGGCCAACGCCAGGTCCGGCACCAGCTGGTTCAGAAACACTACCCACACGACACACGCACCGCCGCACACACGTGACACACACACACGACACACACAAAGTTTGGTGGGTTCTTGGGGCAGACAAGGGAGGACACAAGGGCCAGGCGCCTACCTTTGATGCCCTGGGATTCCCGTGCCTGGCGCGGGCACGAGAGCCACGTCCGGCCGTGCACCACCGCCTCCTCACACTCGTGCAGTGAAAACAGGTGCGGTGCTGTGTACCATGCCACGCGATGAGTGTCGTGTTGCGTGTGTCGTGTTGCGTGTCGTGTTGTGCGCAATGAGGGAGCCAACGTACGTTGTGTGCCGCGTCGGAGGCAGTGGACGCAGGGGATGTAGACGGTGGGCACGAGGCCGTACCAGTGCGTGGCCGAGTCGTTGAAGTTGAACTCGAGCAGGGCGATGAACTTGGCCGTCTGCTGCTTGCCGTAGACGGAGATGGTGACCTGGTCCTGCTCGGGGCAGTTGCCCTCGATCAGCGCCAGGCAGTCGTCCTTGATCACCAGCATGCCCTGCCGCCACACCAGCGGCAGCTTGCAGCCCACCTCCAGGAACCGCACCACCAGACGCGCCAACAGACTAGACCGCGCACACCACCGCACACGCCACCGCACACGCTGGTGAACGACGCGACCGCAAGACGGAGACAAGGGCGCAGGTGGTAGGTAAGCACCTAGAGGGGAGGGCGGTGGGCGAGTCGAAGGAGAAGATGCGCTGCTGCACGGTGGTGGGCGCGTCGACGACCACCTTGCGCGGCTTGGCCTCGTCGTCCACCGCCGGCGGATTCCACCCGGCGTTGGCCAAAATCTGCCACACCTCACGGGCTTCAGAAACCGCACGCACTGCCGCACACACCGCACGCACACACCGCACCTCTGCCGGGGAACTCTTGCGATCGAAGTCGTCGATTTTGGCGGGGAGCGCCTGCGGGACGAAGAGTCGCGGGTCGGCGGCGCCGCCCACCTGCAGCATGTTTGGAATCGTGCTGTCGATGCCCTCCGAGAGGCCGCTCGCTTTGATGTTAAGCTCCTTCTCGATCGACGACATGTTACGGTACACGGTCTTGAAGTGCTCACGCTTCGTCTTGAGCAGCGCCTTCTGCTTGCCTGGGGTGTCGTGGCGAAGATATTCAGAACATTCCAAGTGTAGAAGGCCCGCGCATTCCAAACATTCCCTCATGCACGTACCCGAGGCGTTCATGCGGGCCAGCGGGCTGCTGCTGGGCACGCGCGCCTCCTCCCCTGAGGCATTCTTTGCATTCCCTCGCTCGCCCAACGCGTTGGGCGCGCCGGCATCGCCGCTGCCGAGGCCGACATCGTCGCCCGTAGCTCCGTCCGGCCGTCGCGTGGCCATCTTGCTGCTGTAGGTGAGCATGATGAGGCCGCCCTCGCTCAGGTTCATGCTGCGCCCGTAGCCCTCCTCCTCCACATCCTCCTTCGGCCGCCCATCGCCGTCTTCGTTCTTTTTCTCTTTCTCCTTTTCGCTCTTTTCCATCCTGGCCAGCTCCTTGGAGACCTCGTTGCTCCGCAGCAGGAGCGAGGCGCGGGCCATCTTCCGCCGAATGAAATTGCCGTCCTTCTCTTTCTTCTCCTTGCCGCCGCCGCCGCCTTCGCTTTCCTCTTCGTTCGTTTTGCCTCCGCCGACGTCTTCGCTCTTTTCATTCGTGGTTTGAATCATCACCGCCTTCTTAAGCTGCTGCTGCGCTGTCGTCGACGGAGTGTCCGTGTCGTCCTTGGCCAAGCCATCGGCCCTCGGCGACACCCGGGCGATTTCGCTGCCGCCGCCGCTGCCGCTTTGCTGCTGTTCTCGGCGTCTCATCCGCTTCATGTCGTCAAGAATGGAGGCCGTGCCGGCTCGCCCGCGCTCGCCGGACTTCGTCAACACCGTCCGGCGCGCGGTCTTCGGCGTCATCTCCTTCTTCTGTGGCTTGTCGCCCTCCTTGGTCTCCTCCGTTTTGTCCTGGTCGTTACCATCGTCGACCGCCTCAGCGACGGCCACCTCGTCCGCTTCGGTGCGCACGTCCGCGGACTCTCCGCTTTGGTGGTCGTCGTCGCCCGGCTCCGTCGATGTCGCAGCGGCGGCCTCGATCGTGGTGGTCGTCGCGGTCGTTGTTCCAGATGTCGCCATGTCGACGCTCGGGCCGTCCGAGGAATTCTCTGCGCTGGGCTGCGCCTCGCCGTTCTGAGAGGTGGCGATGCCCTTCTTGGCGTCGTCTTCGTTCTCCTCGAGGATCAGCACCTTCATTCGCTTCGGTCGGAGATAAAACACCTGCGTGTTTGATTCACCAATCACCACCATTGGTGAGCCAATGGCACAGTGCGCGTGTGCGTGGGTCGAGGAGGGAATTCTCTTCCCCAGAAGGAAGTAGTACCATCTCCATCTTTTCTAGGTACATGAGCGCAATCTCGCGTCGCTCCTCCTTGCACATGGCCTTGGGCCACACCGAGGGGAGGTGCGAGCACAGGGCCATGCCTCGCTCCGGGCACACCAACATGCCCCTCTGGCCACTCCAAAATGTGAGTATAAGCGCACCGTGTGTGTGTGTGTGTCAACCTTGGGTGTGAACTCTCGGGCGTTTTGGCACAGGCGGAGGTAGAGGTGAGCCAGCCAATTGCGGTCGAGGAACACCCAGCTGCTGAGCGACGTCGACTCGCCGCGGTGGTACCAGCCTCGCTGGTGCGGGTCGTTGATGTAGGAGATGATGCCGACGTCGTTCCAGAAGCGAAGACACGACTGGAGCTGATGGTGGTTCATTCCATACCCCAGGGCAAACTGTACAATCCAGCCACCACCACCACGAGTATCAGCATCGCACACGCCAAATGCCACACGACGCACACGCCACACACCGCACACACGGCACACGCCATGCGAAGCACACGGCACACACGGAACACACAGCACACACCTTTTCGAGGTCGCTGAAGAAGATGACGGGCACTGACTTGTTCTTCTTGCGCACGATGGTGTCGTTCTTATTGCGAGCTGCGTCGTCGCCCTCGCCCTCCGGCGGATAGCCGAACTTGCGGATCTGGCGCAGCTTGTCGTGCAGGGCCAGGACCCCCACCGGCATGTGCTTGAACCAGTCGCTCACGCTGTGGCCATACGCCACCACTGTGCGTGCACACGCCCGACACCACGGCCGAGTAAGCGCCGGGGCACTGGACGTTGAGCGGCAGTAGGTAAGGCGTACCTTCGACCTCGAGGGCCTCCTGGAGCGCTGGGATCCCCTTGCGCGTGGTGTTGGACACGGTGTGAGAGCCGATGATGTTGGGGAAGCGCTTGGAGAGCGTTTGGATGCGCTCCTGGACGGCCACCAGGTGGTCCCTGGTGCACTTCCTCGCGTCTTGGAATGTCCTGCATCGCTCTCTTGATGAGATAATGACACGACACACACAGCGTAACGCGCCGCACACGACACGACACGTGTAGGGACGGTTGGGGTACCCGACGACGAGCACACGCGGAGAGTTGGGCGTGGGAGGTCTGGCCGTGCGCTTGAGGTAGTCGCCCGGGGAGGTGGGGTTGTAGGTCACCTGACGAATGAGCTTGAGCCACTTCTCGATCGTGGGCTGGGCCAGCTCCGTTTCCAGGTTGTAGACCAGCAAAATCACCCCGCGCTCGTGGATGAAGAACGGGCACACGTCAAGTCGCTGCAGCGGCCAAGAGTCCAGTCATTAAGACTGGGAAACCGCACACGCACGACCGCACACACGCACACACGGGTGGAGTGAGCATACGTTGTGAGTGAAGTCGTAGGCGCTGACCATGAAGCCGTGTTGGCCTTTGATGGGCAGGTTGTAGATTTTAAGCCCGAGGTCGGCGTTGACGCCGTACGAGGGAGGCTTCTTGGCCTCCTCGGCCTCAGCCGCGAAGGCCTCCAGGTCGAGCATGCTCTTCGACCGCCGCTTCTCCTTCCTCTTCCTGCGCAGCCGCGCCTCCTCCGTTTCCTCCTCCTCCTCCCCCTTCTTTTCTTCTTCTTCTCTTTCTTTGTCTTCTTCGCTTTCTCTTCATTGTCGCCTTCGTTCTTTTGTTGGCCCTCCGCCGGTTGCTGTTCGCCGGCGTCGTCGTTGACGCTCGTCTTGTCCTCTATCGCTTTCGTTTTCTTCTTCTTCGCTTTCTTCGCTTTCTTCGCTTTCTTCTTATTCTTCTTCTCCTGTTCGTCGCCGGCCATCAGCTGGCTCCGCCTGTCAGCCATCTTGCGTCCCTCCGAGTGCCACTGCGTCACATCCAGAATCTCGTCGGAGTCAAACTGGCTCAGCTGCACCGTGGTGGTGGTCTTCTGGCCGTCGGGCTGCCTGTCCCGCGACGACCCGCTCTTCGAGCCCAGGAACGACGACAGCCGCTGCAGCGGCGACGACAGGTGCGGCGGGAGCGAGAGGTTGTTGACCAGCGCCGTACGGCCGGCGCCCGGGTCGCCCACCACCAGCACCTTGAGCCGGTGGTCGGCAGGCATGAAGACCGGAACCGGGTTGTTGGTGCCGCCCGCGCCGTCGCCGTCGCCGTTCGCGGTGGTCATTGCGGCCTTGGTGGTCGCTGCGCGGGTCCTGTAGTGGCCGCCGCTGGCCGCCATGTTGACGGCACCGCCCGAGGCGGGCGAGGGTGGTCGGACGCTCTGGACGTCGACGTAGAGCGACCTGCACCAAGATAAAGATACATTATACATATAATGTTAATAATAATGAAATATGTCACCGGGTAGAGGTTTTCTGGCGAAACAAATAAATAAAAATATTAAGGTTTAAATTTCGAGTTGAGATTATTGTGAATTCACGCAGGAAATGAGTCAATTCAATTTGGATGAAGTGAAACTTGAGATTTCGTACCTTCGGGTGAAGATCTTGGCGCTCCGCCCCATTATGCCACCTACAGACGATCGGAGTCAGATCCCGAGAAGCGCAATGCAACGTTCAAACAAAGAACGAAAGGGACAAAAGAAAGAACGAAAGCGAAGAAGAAGGAATCCAAATCGCCGTGAACGTACCTCCTTTGGATGAACTTGACTTCGCCCCTGTGCCTGTCGCAACGGCAGCGGTGGCCTCCTCGTCCATTTCGTGCGTCGCCTGGTCTGGCGAGTGTGCTGTGTTCGAAAAAACGGGCAACCACCATTACGGTAATTTATCACCTGCCCTTAATTTGTCAAATATATTCACGTGTTTGTTGCACATCAACCTTATCCTGCCACACACAGCGCCTGGCACTTCCATAACTTGCGGGTCTGTGTGAGCCCAGAGCTGGTCATAGAAGAAAAAAAAAGGTGAGAGCGCTCAACAGCGGCGTGGGTCTGGTGTTGCTTTCCCCGAAACCTCTCGGGCACTGGGTAGGGGTTTTAATCCCTCCCCGGTAGGATTCGAACCTACGAGTCTGTGATGACAAATATCTACGAAGTAGCCCACTGCACCAGGCGGGCGCTCTCAATTTTTCTGGTGTTGCGCGGTTTGAGTCGTGGGCGAGAGACCTTGCGAAAAGAAGCCCTTTGTATTTCGTTAGGCGGGTTGGCCAAGAGGGCGGCCACGAAGGAAAAGATGGGTCGTTTAAAAGTCGGGGTACCAGGCTGTGGGCACAACATGCACACGGCACAGACACACACGAAGTCAACAACATAACTGCAAAGCTCACACGTAGAGCGCAAGAAAGCGATTGCCCGTACCCGCGATGATGAAATTGTTGGTGGGGAGCGAGTAGGGGCCAGCGAAGACGCCGATGAACACCTCCTGCGACACGAAGGGCTGGGTGGTGGCGATGTAGCTGATCGAGTGGATGGCCTGACCCATCCGGGGTGTCCGACTTGTCGTAGTCGCGGAGCGTCGGCCAG